CTTGTGACAAAGACGTCCAACTGACTGTTGTCAACGGTCTAAGCCTTCAGGTGAATAAATAAAAGGACTTCAAACGGGTCCTCTGGAAACGTGACCTCCTACACTCACTGTTGTGAAGTTGCATCGACCGCAGGTTTCACATCTTACCTCCACGAGAAAAGGCAGCACAGGCACAAATGTGTTGGTGCTGCTGGACAGCAGAGTTAGGGCTCTGCAACAGTGGATCCTCAGTGGGTAGTACCGTGACGTGGGGACCAACCTGTTAAGGGAAAAAGAGAAGAAACAATGGTCAATGTCTCCATCTGCTGGTGAAAAAATACAACACATATTGCCAGTCGACTCTGAATAAATGGCCAGATGCTAAGACGGCAGGTTCAAAGAGAGATATGTTTATATTAAAAATGTTTGTTTTTAAATAAGTCAAACACATTACGAAATGTGTAATAAAAATTAAAATTTGTTTTACAAAGGATGAATTCTCCTATAGAAACACTGTTTATAAGAATGTTTAGATTTAAATTGATTCAAGTTCCTTTTTTATTAATAAAGAGCTACAAAGGTGCCCTGGAAATCATTTTAGAAAATGTCTCTAAACCATATTTAAAAAAAAAAAGCATTTACATTAATTCACAGTAAAGACTCTAAATACGATTTGGTTTTAAAGATAACTGGAGTCCACCTTCAGACACTGAAGACATGTTGCTAACTGATGCACCTGAAAAAAGAAGTTAATAGAAGGACAGACAACCAAACTCACTTGATGGTGCCTATGATGACCTGACAGAGCGGGTAGATGAGAGGCTGCAGAACCTCACTGGGATACAGTGTACTGAGGACACGACACCACAGGTACAGACAGTGGATGAACTGCCAGTTATACACCGACTGGTATGTTTCCTTTAAAAGAAATAATAGACACAAAGATAAGGAAAATGAAAGATAAATAGCTGAGACGTGTTATACTGGTAATTAACTAAAAAAAATGGGTGTGAATTTATTAATAAGTAAACTTCACTCATCCTTCCAAACACATTTACAAGACCTCCTTGAAATAAATTTGTTTTTGTTTCCTAGTTTTTTCAAATCAAGTACAACTTTGTCAGTCTGTCCCACATCAGTTTTTTTTTTGTTCTTTTTTTAATAGGTGGGTAGACCATTTGCTTACACATTTGAAAACCAACCTTCTTCTTCATGGTCATGGCGTTTCTCAGGTGAATGGCCAACTGTCTGATGTAGATAAATGATTGCTGGTAAGTGGCCTGTGAGTCCAGGGAGTACATCTCTGTTAGAGTCCGCTGCATGAAGTTGATCATGGGCAGTGCATTTGGGGAGGTGAACTTGCAATTTTGTACGTAGGAAATGTACATTTGCTGCAGAGAGAAAAACAAAGGCAGTGAGTAAAAGACATTCAAACAAACACCAGACTATGGGACTTGTTTAAAGTTTTCCAAAAGTAATTCCTAAGTTTAAACATCTATAGCAACAATAGCACCTATCTTTTCATTTAGATATATTTGTGTTAAGACATAATATGATGAATTAATATTGCTTCAAAAATTTCGTACCACAGATGCTAAAAATAACGTTTATGTTTTCAGCTAGTAAATCAGCTATTTTTGGGTCTGTTTTTTCTTAATGCCTGTTTTACTCAGCATTACCCTTACCTTGAGAATGGTGTTAAGATACATATCCTTCTTGTGTCTGCAGATTTTGTTGAGGGCCAGGAAGGCGAGGACCCGGTTGGTTTCCTCACCTGTGCTCCACTGCTTCATTAATTGCTGGGGGGAAAAAACATATTTGAGGATAATTTGAATATTACAAAAAAAACAAAAAAAGCTTGATACCGCTGTTCATTTTCTCTCCTACCTTGAGTAGGTGGCGACACTGTTTAGGAAGACAAAGGTAATATGGCACGAGCTGGTTTGCGTGTCGCAGCACAGCACTGATGACCGAGGCCTCTGTTAGACTAGACATTAGCTACAGGTGCAGAAGGAAATGAGGTTTCAATTCACCAGGCAAAAATAAGACAACGACAAGAGTATAAAACAAGGAGAATGTTTCAGATGAAGTATTTTAATATTAATATCTAGGAGTAGAATGAACAGAAACTTAGATGACACACTTCAGAATAAATACAAACCTGAACTAGTCCATCAAGATACATCTTGATGTCCAGCTGATTCTTCTGCCACCGTGGACTGGATGATGGTAGCACTATCCTAAGATTAAAAATTAAACAGGATGAGCACTAAAAGGACAGAATACACACACTTATCTATTTAAAAAAATCTGCCTCCTACTTTTTCTGGGTTTTTTCTTGCTTCAGGTTGAGCATCTTCTGCAGGGCAACATAAATATCTCTAATACAAAACAGGACCAAGGCGTTGAACACTGCAGAACAGACGCAAAAAAAAGATTTTTAGTGCATATAGCCATAATTAGGAAAACAATTAAATTAAGCAATTTTATATTAATAAGGTTCTAAATTGGTCAGATTGTTTTTAAGAAATGCTTGTTTGAGTCTGTACTAGCTGTCTCCAAATGTACTGAACACTTCAATATCAATTTTCTGAAATAGAAAACACTAAAAAATTGTGTTATTTGGTGATAAAAAGCAAAGACTTACCTGAACTGTCTGCCACTTTGTATCGACACTGACTCTCTCCTTCACCCTTGGTGGTAGCTACTGCTGCCTTAAAGGCCTGAGTCACATCTCTGAAGAGTTTATGAGTGGGTTCTTTCCTCATAGCAGCTTTCCATTCCTCAATCATTTTATCAGTGACTTTGATGCCATCATCTGTCTTCTTTTTGACTTCTTTTTGAGTCCCTACATCATTGTCATCATCACTAGAGTTAGCCTCCTGCAAGGAAAAAAAAACATGATTCTGGTTTAATAAAACCTAATCTGACCAGAGAAAATATGCCCTGACTGATTTCTACAGATATGATGATGTTTCATACAGGGTAGACACAGATGCATTCTGGGTCTGCTGTGACCCCTTTTCTCCCATGACTCCGTCTTTCTCCCAGTCCAAATACATGTAGAATGTACGAATAAGGAGTGAATTAGCTCCGGCTTCAATTTCCCATAATTGAAAAAAATCATAACTTGCAGTACATTGTGATTTACAATCACTGCTAAACCTCAGATGGGCACACTGTCATTTGTCATATTTTGTTCTGACCAGGCAAATATTTTAACACATGACAGAACTAATAATGATCTGTGACTCTGTGTGGATAGTTTGGAAACTTAAAAATAACCTTTTTAAAATTATGACAATTGTCACTACTCTTTGACCATCTTCTTTGTATTATTGTAGAACACTTTAAAGTATGTACTGTACTTACAGATGTGAACTTCAATAGTATCATTGATACCAAGTCTAAAAAAAGTGGCTTACCTCCAGTTTGGACGGTAACTTGTGGTATTTATCCTCATCCTCATCGTCAGAGCTGTCTGTGTCATCAAAGTTTAGGAGGGTTTGGTCGTTCTCTTGCAGAAACTTGTAAAACTCTGGATCTTTACTTTTCAACCTTGACAGCTGCTCCTTGTGCTGAGACGCCTTGCCTGTTTGTGTTTCATTACTGTTTAGGAAAATTAGCAGAAAATGTTAAGGAACAGTCTCTATAGGGAAAATAATTTTCTGAAAATGTGTTGTTAATACATCACAATAATGTCACATACGTCTGAGGAGGTGCAGTGTCTAACTGTTTTGCCTTCTTGTTCTTCTGTAGACCATTCTGTTGAGGTCTCTCTCCAGATTCATCTTCATCCAATGAGTCAAACCCAGAAAGCAGGAACTCATCCAAGCTGAGGTCTTCTAGATTTCTACAAAACAAGTGTACAGTTTAATAAAATGAACAACACGTCATTGAACACATCTTTTAACAGGCAGTAATCCTTTACAGTTTTCCAACAATAACTTACTTTACAAGAAAAGAAAACACAACGTTGAAGTTGATGCTCTGCCAACACTAAATTATTTATCACAAAGACACTAGTTTCATTTAAGAAATTCTAAATTCAGAATTAAGCTGGCTAACCACAAACTGAAGCAAAATATGATACATGCAGAGGAAAATATATTGTCAGATGAAACCGCAATAATGAAAATTCTATATACGCCTAAACTGTAAGGAAATTCGATAATAAAAGAACTAGGTTCTGTTTCAAAGCACTTGAAAGGTAATATAGTTCACAACTGTACAACACACGTGTTAGGATTTTATGTTATCTACATCAGTTTCTACGCGTAGGTCACATTATATAGGTAAGAGTCAGGTCTTTGTTAAGACATTTATTTGTTACATATGTTATTTAAACCAATACGAGGACTTAAATGATTGACCAAACATATTTATAGACAGAACTGGGTTAGCTCAAATAGCATAGGTTGCTACGACACTAACATTCACTTAAAATGTCTTGGTCAAAACTGTTAAGATGATTCCTTCACACACCAATAACTAAATAGACAATTTAACTATAGTGACCCCCCAAAAAAGAGAAATAGTTTTTTAGAAAACATTGTATATTCTATTTACTGTTAACTCACTTTTTCTGTTTTCCTGCCATGCTGGATTCCCAACGTGACCAATCTTCTTCTGTTTTGTGTTTCAGTCGGTAACTAGCTCATTGGTACAATACTGCCACCCACTGGTAAAAATCAGGGAGTCTGTTCCATTTGAAAAGTTCATATGAAAAAATATACATGAAGTCATCACACACGAAAATAAACATTTTAAATTATTATGTTTTTAAAAAACTTTTTTACACGCCGTTACACGCATACGTGTATATGTTCGTTTTTATTTTGCGGCTGAAAGGCACTACATAAATGACCAAATGTATAACTTATTATTGTAAGTTAAATTATAATTAGTTTTATCACAAAATAACTGTATATTATGAATATGTTATTTATAATGTATAAACAACTATTATATTTATACATTTATTTAATTAAACCAATTATATACGAAATAACAATTACTTTTTTAAGTTCATTCAAATTGTTGCAATATCCATAATATGACCAATTTAAAACGTTTTTTCCCCCCGTTACGTCAGACTTTATTATTGAAAACTACACAGTATAAAACGTACGAATTGGTTTCATGTCTAACGGGTAGTGGGCGCCATAAACCACTTTCTTTTATTAAAGTGGAGCCAGAATATTGGCGTAACCTTGTCGGTACGTGTGGCTTAAGTTAAGTCATAACTGTTGCATGATTCTACATAATCACAAATGCAAGAGACATCGGCAGAGGGGGTAACCTGAAAAGTTCACTGATAAAGCTGGAAACAAAGACTGCGTTGATGCTGTCCGCGAGTGTGTAAATTAAAGAATCAGCTGCAGCCTAAGCCCTAACAGAGGAGATCGTAGAGTTCAGTGTTTTCCGAGACGGCTTTGCATAGCTTCCAAACTGGGAAAGCTTAAGAATAGAAAGAAGGCAGCGCTTCCCCATCGGCACCGACGGAGACTGGTGGTGAGTACTAGATAATAAAGCATCGGTCAGAATGCTAATGCTAGGTCAGCAGCAAACATTGATCAATAACATACAGTGACTCAACTAGTTGCGACTAAATTTTCCCTTGAATGGGAACGGGTGGGCGCTTATCTTAATGTAGTTAAGTCGCACCCGCAGTTGAGGGGCAATACCATCGAGTCAAAATACGAATACATGGATGGGTGTATAATTTATTTGCTTTGTTTCAGTTTCTTTGATTTCTTGTCTGGGTTGAACCGAAGTTAAACACGACTGTGTTTATCGCTAATCATTGTGCTTCTCATCTAAACTCCGCCTTTTGTGGTGGCTTAGACGTATTTATCGAACACACTTCCTGACTCGACACGATGAAGGTGCTTTTAAGGTCGAGCGTATATTTGTTAAAAACAATGAACAAAATATACTTAAAACAGGGTTTAAAAAAACCCTTACATTTCTTTGTTACATATTCTATATGTTTTAATGCGCTACCACAGTATCATCATTTCACAACGCACTTGATTTTCAATACGTTTAATCTAGTATGTTAAGATCCACCTTAAGTACCGATGTCAGGTTTTCATGCAGGACTATTTTGCATTGACGTCAGCCATATACAGCCATACAACAGAAAACAGACGCTTTCTTCATATTCCGTATGCTGGAGTCAGGATGTGGAGTGATAACTAGGTACTAGCGCTGATTTTTACACAGTCTGACTGCGACAGCTGCTGAGTTGTCTGCCAAAACTCCCGAGAAAAGGCACTGTGTCTGGAGAATAAACCAAAGCTCAACCACCGGTAAAGGATGTACACATTCATTATTTCAGTGTAATACTGCTTCTGTACCCGAAGGCTGTTGTTATCTAAAATAGATAGAGTGGGGGTTGGGGTTCGTCCAGATGACATAAGGATGCTGATGTCTAAGTAGAATCATCCTTCACTCATGTGCAGCCTGCCGGTTTGTGCACACTTCAGAATAGAGCTTTCTCTAGACGTCTTCCAGTTTTTCTGACAGAAATTCATTTGGAAGAAAAGTCTGAGTATGAACCTGTTTCGGCTGTGGTGGATGTCTTTAACCTTATGAACATCCCTGTTTCATTGTATTTTCCTATTTTCTCTGACACGAGAGGAGCTAGTTTCTCATAGAGAAGGCTGACTGGTGTGTTTAATGGTCTATTGTGTTTTGGAAAATGAGATTCAAAGCCAGACGCCAGGCAGCTGTTGTGACATTTGAGCTAGTCCTCATGGGACAGTGCAGATTATTTGGTGGTAATACTACCTCTGATGAAATGACAACATTATTATGAGGCACTCATCAGATCCCAATTATGCATTTGCCAAGTCTAGGAAACTGAACATGAAAAAAAATCAATATCATGTCGTCGTCCCCCCCCCGTTTTTGATGGACTTAAACCCGATTTATTTAGCTAAAGTTAAGGCTGATTTCCTTTTTGCTCCCAGTAGCCTTTGTTGGAGGAATCTTCACTGATGTATTAGGATGGCTCTCATAAGTTCTTTTATGTATTTATCATCTTTTAGAATAAAGATGTAAAGATGTATCTGGCTTATCACAAACACAAGAAAATATAACAATATTCTGTAAAATAGAGAACTTTAAGTTAAATAGATTTGCTAGTAGATGGTAGATAGAAAAATTATTACTAATATAATTTTTGTAATTGAAATTTGTGTTGTGACTGATATAAATTGCAAGAATAAATAATGGAAAAAATAAATTCTATAAAATGTGATTTACCCACATCGACCTTTATGATCCAGTCAAATACAAGGTTAAGCGTTTGCAAAATGATTGTTTACCTTGACCATATGTTTTTTAGCATCGCGTTATACATCTGGATGATTTTTGTCAAAGCAGTGAGGGATACCTTCCTTTACACATTTCCAGACAGCCCACCTCTGTTTGTGCTGTGCTACAAGTCTGAGATAAAATCACATTACATCCAGTACATTTTCTTTCTTTTCTTTTAGTCGTTTGTCACGTGGCGTTTGAGATGTATTCCCATCTATGTAAATTGTGTCATAAAACAACCAATAGATTCATTAGACAGGATCCTATAAGATGCTGCGTGACAAGGGTTATGTAACATTCTGAATATATTCTCTCCCAGAGTCTCTAAAGCTGAGTGTACAAAGAAAAAGTCCAAATCAGGCTCCTCTCCTCCCACCCAACTCTGCAGCTGGAGTGAGGGGGTGGTGATTGGTTTGCAGCTAATTCTAGTTCAGGTGAACCTGTATAAAACCATTATTTAATTTGTTTGAATCATGTGTTTATTTGCATTTTTATTTTCAGTAGGCATGGCAGCCCTTTCAGTGTTTCCTGTCACACTGAGGTTTAATCCTCATTGACATTGAACGTCAAGCTATGAGAGCAGTGAGCCCATGACACTATGTATTGGTATGTTTGTGTCGTAGTTGTCAGGATGGGGGACTCCTGCTCTAACAATAGGTACAATCATTACTGAGGACACCTGTCACAACAGCTGCATCACTGCAGAGAAACAAAGCTCTGTGACTTTTCCGATGACATCAGGCATTTTTACTCTTAAATGACATCGTCATTCACTCACATTCAGCCCCTTTCTTATTTTTTTGGTTGCTTAAGTTGTCTGGAGTGCGGCCCAGGCCCACAAACGCCACACCAGGCACCATGATGGAAGGAGGCATGCAGCTGATCAACCGGGATGGACACAGCATCTCACACAACTCAAAACGCCACTACCACGACTCCTTCGTGTCCATGAACAGGATGCGTCAGCGCGGGTTGCTGTGTGACATCGTGCTCCATGTTTCCAACAAAGAAATCAAGGCGCACAAAGTGGTCCTGGCCTCCTGCAGCCCCTACTTCCATGCTATGTTTACAAGTAAGTTCGTGCATGTGCCTACAATTTTGTGCTTTTTTTGTGTAACAGCAATGAAACCCATGCATTATTTTACTTTATTGCTCAACTTCCGTTTGTATAGACTTCATCACATTGCCGCTGCAGCACCACTTCCTTCTTTCTCTTCCCTTCTGTGACACAGGTGCTCAGAATGAGGTGTGCGGTCATCTCATGTTTCCTTCCAGTGTAACACCTTTGTTTGGGTAGAAAGAGACTCCAGGCAATTATTTTTCTAAATTTGATACCCAGCTGCAAGGTCTTGTCTGACGTATTTGACCCTGCCACTAATTGGTGCATTTCAATGGCACCTGCTGATCTGTAATGATGACCAAAATGGCAAAACCAAAGTTCCCCTGTTGATACTGTGTTTTTTTCAGTTTTGTCAAACAACAGAATGCTGAAAAATAAAAGCTACTGAATGTCTCTGTTCCACAGCAACACCCACATTACTCAAGGGTGCAAAGAGATTTCAAAAGTCTTCACAGTTAAAACAACTGACTAAATGGACAGCAACAAACGAGCTGTGTGGATATCTGGCAGCTGCACTGTATACATTAGGCTCCACCATGTGTTGGCATAAGTCAACAGGGAGGCAATTATATTAGCCAGATTTACTGCGTACAAATCTGTACAAGACATGTAACCACTCTGATTGTTCGTGTCTGTGCAGATGAGATGTCTGAGAGTCGACAGACACACGTTACCCTTCATGACATTGACCCTCAGGCTCTGGAGCAACTCATCCAGTATGCGTACACAGCTGAGATTGTGGTCGGAGAAGGCAATGTGCAGGTGAGGCAGAGGGCTTGATTGAAAAGTTTTTTGATAAAAAATCTTGAATTGAACCTCATTAATTTAATCACAGTGCCTTCTCCCCCTGTAATTACTAGACATTACTCCCAGCAGCGAGCCTGCTACAGCTCAATGGGGTCCGGGATGCCTGCTGCAAGTTCCTCCTCAGCCAACTGGACCCTTCCAACTGCCTGGGCATCCGGGGCTTTGCTGACACGCACTCCTGCAGCGACCTGCTCAAGTCAGCACACAAGTATGTCCTGCAGCACTTTGTGGAAGTGTCCAAGACTGAAGAGTTCATGCTGCTGCCGCTAAAGCAGGTAAGGATGAAGTCGTCTCTGTGGTCTGACATTTATCAACAAAATAAATAACAATAATAAATAGATATAAATGCATCTGTGTTCACTATTGAAGAAATTCTAACCACTTTTAATAAATAAAAGCAAGAAAAAAAATGTTTATTTTGAGGTAACTGGTGATGAACAGTTGTCCATACTAAGGTCAAGGCCCCTCCAAATTTGCAACATTTTTCTTGAAGATCAGATAATGAGGCCAATAGATAAAAATGGTTAGAAAAGTGAAAATTGAGATACCGTAATTTCCTTCGAAACACTTCAATTTAACTGTTCTTGCAGACCTTGGAGCTACTTCTAGTTGTCTCTTTAACTTTTATAACCGTCTACCATTCTCCATTATTATTTTGTACAGTCTATAGTTAGCAGTGAAACAAAATGTCAGAGTAAAGATAAAATCACATCTGTTCCTTATTCTTTCAGTCTTTCATCTGGTCCTTTAGCCTGTTTATGTGTCGATGGTTTGCATCATAAGTCTGCCCTTTCAGACACAGAGCTAATGGAGCTGTGCAGTACTTTCTATATTTATGTCATTGTTCTGTGAAGGATGTGGTCTAGGCCTGACTACTGTAGCTGTAGACTGGATGTATGTGGTTCAGTAAAGCCTACAAGAAAGTTCAAGGCATACTAATTGATTCTCTCGTCCCATTCTATGCATCCTGTCATAGATGACAGTCTTTTAATTAGCATATATTTTCATTATTAGCTGCCCGACCACAATGAAATATAGTCCATATTTGTGCCCAGTACTTTTCCACTCGCTGAGACAAAGAGAGTTTTTGTAATCACGATGCAGTGCACAGAGGTAAAAGGTACTGCAGGGAGGGACATCAGCAGTAGCAGTATTTCTCAGTGAGACTGTGGACTGGCGGAGGTTCTTAACTGTTGTCCTGATCTGGCAAGACGACAGCAGCAGCAGCAGCAGCAGCAGCAGCAGCAGCTGGCTGCTCCTGCCCCACCCAGGTCTGCCAGCTCTGGGTTACTGTGGGAGTCGTGCCAGCCAGCTGCTCTGACTGCAGCACTGGTGGCATGGACAAACATGTATACACACACAATGGCACTACACACACAGAGACCGTGCTATGACTCACAGGTTTTCATGTGGGAAAGTGTAGAATTAAACAGGCATAGCAATGATAGTCTATTGCTTTATCCATCAATAGAGTATTAGTCTGGAAAAACAAAATGATGTCATTGGTAATAAAAAAAAAGACGAGGAACGAAGGAAAAAAGGAGGAATAACGCAGGGTGCAAATGGATGCGATAGACAACAGCTTCAACAAATATTTTACATCACACTTCTCTCCTGTGTGGATGAAGTCACCAATTATATAATCCAACAACACATCACATTTTCTTTTTCTTCAACCTATGTCTACTCCTTGCTCCAGCGATTACCATATGTCACTATCTCACCCTAGACCCCGCCTCCTCTGCTGTTACACCAACCATCTGCAATTTTTACTTTTAGCACATCAGTTAATCTTCTCTGAGGTCTACCTTGTTTCCTCTTGCCTGGCAGCTCCATCTCCAACACATTTTGTCAAATATATCCACTATCGCTCCTCATCACATGTCCAAACCATCTCAAACTTTTCCATTCTCTATCTCTTTAAGTCCAAGTATGGACACTGTAATAAGACAAAATGTTTCTGCTCTCCGTTGTTCTCCTTAGGTGCTAGATTTGATTTCAAGTGACAATTTAAATGTTCCATCTGAAGAGGAAGTCTACAGAGCCGTGTTGAGCTGGGTGAAGCATGATATAGATGGACGTAGGCAGCATGTACCATGGGTAAAGACCAGATCAGAAAAACATTTTTTTTTCATAATAACAGAACTCCTGATGTTAATTCTACCCATGTTATCACCCTGTTCCATCCTCAGCTGATGAAGTGTGTGAGGCTGCCCCTGCTCAGACGAGACTTCCTAATGAGCAACGTGGATACGGAGCTGCTGGTGCGTCATCACTCAGAGTGCAAAGACCTGCTCATTGAAGCACTCAAGTACCACCTGATGCCTGAGCAGAGGGGGGTCCTCAGCAACAGCCGTACGCGTCCGCGTCGCTGTGAAGGAGCCAGCCCTGTGCTCTTTGCTGTTGGTCGGTTTCACTGCTACTTCTTTAGTAAACTCAAATCCAAACATAGACACAATCACAGTTCACTCTTCAGCCTAAAGCCTCAGTAAAATAGTTTCCATTATTTGTGTTCCAGGTGGTGGCAGCCTGTTTGCCATCCATGGAGACTGTGAGGCCTATGACACCAGGACAGATCGCTGGCACATGGTGGCGTCCATGTCTACACGGCGGGCACGGGTGGGCGTGGCAGCCATTGGCAACAGACTATATGCTGTTGGAGGGTGAGTTATGACTCGACGGGTGTCAGAACCCTTCAAGGTATCACTGAAGTTCTTACTGAAACTCACATGTTATCTCATCTGATTGTTGTCAACAAACATTTGTGCTTTTTTATATTCACCATTCTTTAGCTATGATGGCACTTCTGATCTGGCAACTGTGGAGTCTTATGACCCCATCAGTAATGCCTGGCAGCCTGAGGTTTCCATGGGAACCCGTCGGAGCTGTTTAGGTGTGGCCGTCCTGCATGGGCTTTTGTACGCTGCAGGAGGTTATGATGGCGCTTCCTGTCTCAACAGGTCTGTACTCAGAGACATTGTAATGCAGCTTTATAATGTAATCTAAATAATTCTAATACTGATGTCTTTTAATCCTCCCACAGTGCAGAGCGTTATGACCCTCTGACCAGCACATGGACCTCTATTGCTGCAATGAGCACCCGAAGACGATACGTCCGAGTTGCAACTCTGGGTAAGAAAACAGCGAGTAGGAAAGCTTATATTACGTGCTGTGTATTATGTTTATCTATGTCTGTCTTTATTATACAAACTGAATCCATGGTGATGAAATTGAAACTAAAATCCTAATATTTAGACAGTTAACTCCCTTCTCCTCTCCAGACGGCAGCATGTACGCAGTGGGAGGTTATGACAGCTCCTCACATCTTGCTACTGTGGAGAAATATGACCCTCAGGTGAATTCAGACTCTTAAATTAAATGTCTGTCTCCAGGCTTAGGTCAGTGGAGGAAAAACATGGCATTAGTTAAGAATCAAAATGTGTAGTAACATTTCTCTGGGCAATTCATTGAACAGAGCAACACATGGACTGCCATCGCTAACATGCTGAGTCGCCGCAGCAGTGCCGGGGTGGCTGTGCTGGATGGTATGCTGTATGTGGCAGGAGGCAATGATGGTACCAGCTGCCTGAACTCTGTGGAGAGGTTCAACCCTAAGACCAACACATGGGAGGGAGTTGCCCCTATGAACATACGCAGGTGAGGCTGGAACCAAAATCCAAAGTAGGACAAAGAAATGACTAGAAACGCAGCAGCTCTGTGGTGTTTACAACTGTCAGCACTCATTTAGGCCCAAGTTATTCCTTCTGTCTGTGCATGTTTACAGAGTTTCCCTAGGGTCTGCATGAACACAAATACTGTCCTTTCCATCATACGGATCTGCAAGCACTGCACACGGTTTCTACTTTGCTGCTCAGTGGAGCTAAACACTCATTTCCTTTATTGTATCATATTTAAACACTGAAAAATGAACACACCCAGTTTCTGTTCCATCTATATTTAAATCAATTTATTTCATTCATTAGTTACGCAACCTAAATCATTTTTGAATATATTTTGTATAAAAATGTAAAAAAAATGTAAAAAATATATATGTAGAGCACATATATGCTGTATATGTGTGTATGTATATACATATATTAATTTTTTTATTTGAAATGTATTTAAAAAGGTTTTAAATAGCATTATTTCTATATAAAATAAAAGACACTTGAAAAATAACGTAACTGCTTTCGCGTAATAAGAAAAGCATGTAAACAGACCTAGTGTCTCGTCTGTTTTCCAGCCTGGCAACAGACTGTGCAGCACCATGAATAACCCATGTGTTAATCAGCCTTCGTATCCTGTTGTTTAGACTCTACCTTTACACAGCATATCATTATAATCCACCTTAAAGCTCATGCACGTTTGGCACTGGCTAATATAAAATAGCATTTTTTGTTTGACACCAACCTCGCTCTGCACATGTGTATAAGAAATATCAGCACTTTATAAACAATACAATCCCTTAGACATTGGCTTCCAAACAAATAATTAAAACTTCCTATAGTCTCTTATATAAATAATAAAGAATTCCTGGTACATATTGTGATCATTTTACAGTAGGTTTCTAATTATGATAAAATTACACAAGGCTAGTTTGAAACTAATGTGAGAAACAGAAACAGTATCCCTGAAAGCTCGCAGTACTAATTGGTAACACTAGAAACTCCAGCCTTGTTTTGTGTGGATCTCAAAACTGCTGCGATGAAAAACAAAGAGAAAAATGTATAAAAGCAAGCTGACAGTCTTATACAACAAATAACAAACAAGACAAATACTTTTAAGTAAAGCCCTATTAGGTTGCTTAATCAGCAACATTTTCCTAAACTAGATACATATAGCTACAAAGAAAATTACCAAAATGATTGAAATGCCAAAAAACTCCAATACTCCCATGAGACATGTTATCTAGCTGGACAAAACTAAGTTTTATTTATAGTTTACCCTAAAAAAAAGCCAAGCTGGTTAAAGAAAGAACAAAAGACTTTTTTTGATGTTAGATGTATGATTTTTTAAAAGGCTTTTTTTCCAATAAAATCTGGTCAGATTTCTTATGCACTTTGAGTCTTGGGGCTGACTGCAAAGCTGGAAATCTTCTAAAATCAAATAGAAGCTAGAATATCATATCTTATATCTTATAAAAAGTCCTTCTCTCTGTCCAGGAGTACTCACGACCTTGTGGCCATGGATGGCTGGTTGTACGCAGTTGGAGGGAACGATGGCAGTTCAAGTCTCAATTCTATAGAGAAATACAACCCACGCAGCAACAAATGGGTGGCAGCCTCCTGCATGTTCACACGCCGCAGCAGTGTGGGAGTGGCCGTGCTGGAGCTGCTCAACTTCCCGCCGCCCTCCTCGCCCACCCTTTCTGTTTCCTCCACCAGTCTTTGACACGAGGTTACTACTTGGCTGAGCTCAGCCTCTGCTGCTACGGCCCAGGCTGGCTCTGGGAAAAGACGCAACTGCTCAGTCTAAGCTGAGGAGGATGAGGACCCAGATGGACCAGAAGATGAGAAGAAGGTGGAACATCTGCTGTACAGCTTCTGCCATAAGTGCAAACGCTGTTCTGTCCTCAACTCCTACTTCTCTTCTTCTTCGCTCCACCTCACGGGTGTTTGACACACTTATTGTGATAAAAAAAATACAAACGGTGGGCGCTGTTTCTGTCTTGTGTGATGGTACAGTTTCAGTGTGATATTGTCTTCTCTAGTTTTTATTTTCTTTTGCAATAAGGTATTTAAAAGAGAAAGTGAATGACTTTGCTTTTGGAATGTAGCCTTTGACAGGTTGTACATCATGCATGTTTACATTGCACTGACTCCCAACGGGAGACTAAAACGTTGTAGTGCTGATATGCCACGCTAGGTGGCAGTAACAGACCATGCTTTCACAAGGAACGCGTCCCACCACAACAAGAAAGCATGGATACAGTGACAAAGAAAAGCCAGACTCGCACTTGTAGATATATTTGGGTTCTTTTTTTGTTCAAAAAATTAAATATTATGTGAAGATAAATGTATTTAATTAATATATAAATTATGATATTTTCTGTTAAAGATGCATATATATGGAAACCCACTAGACATATGCCAATTTAAGTGTTTTTATTTTATTTATTTTATCTATGTGAAGGAAATGCTTATATTGTCTGTGAAAACGAGAAGAAGAGAATGTTGAAGTGTGAAAGTTTGATTTCTGTGCATCTGAAGTTTCTTCTGACATTTCATATGCCTTTGTTAAAGGAGAACAGCGGCCAATTCTTACATACAGTACCTCTGTTGCTATGGAACCATAAGCATTGCCATTATGAGTAAATAAGAGGATACATAGAACAACACAGCCAAAATGATGAATCACTGTTTAATACAGCCCAGCTATAAGCAAAACAACAGACCAAGCAGTTAAACCAGTGTTTTTATGTTAAAACTGCCGAAAACGTATTTACAAGTGCAATGCAACATCAACCACTTCCTAGGGATATACCCCTATACGTATCTTACCACATAGCCCTACTCCCCAATAATTGACTCAAAAGACCACCTTAGAACCATCTAACAACTTGTCCCATAGGTTGGCGATGACAAATCTGGCTGTGTTGACTCATTTGTTCTCTTATTAAGTAATCATAGTACTCATGAATTTTAAACAAAAGAGCTGTATGTTTTTATTGGGCAGATGTTTCCTGAAATATTCCTCACTGCCACAATCACAGAATCACACTTAAATGAACCACATGCCTACTACGTTTGTGCTGTAAGGCTTCAGTACAATCTAGACAAAATATTAATATAATTCAGTGAAATGAATTGTCAGAGAGTTGTATGTAATCACTATTTATGTCACATTAGAAATACATACACGCGGGAGGTTTTCTTGTAGCCCATCCCCAGTGATTGATACTTGAGTCAGTAAAACTGTGGACACTTGGTGCTGTCATATTCCTCCGTTCACTCAGTCAGGTTTACTATCCCGTTATGTTACCTCAGTTTTTAAGTGGTCCAACTCTGTCGCAGCAAAGCTGAAATAGGAACTTATTATTGACCAAAAATACACTGGTGTTAGCACCTGTGCTAACTGGAAATAGAAAAGTTTCCACTGATATAGAATAACTTGGTTGTTCTGAGTCTTGTGGTTTAGTTGAGTTCATTTGTGGTGCAGTGATTCCATTCCCGACTTCTGGGAAGTTGCGCTTTTTCCTTATTTTAAAGGATTTTCTGTATCTGGGGTTTTTTTCTCTTCTTCTAAGTATTACTTTTAAATGATTTTATAGGAAGTACAGAGTATAATATAGGCTGTATTTGTCTAATTGGAAATACTGTTACTCTGTAGAGTCAATGTGAGCAGGAGTGGCATTAAACCATTAAATACTTTTTCTTTTGTTCTACTTTCTGTGGTGTAAATAAACATTATTTGATTACTGAATGTGCAAATTCAATGTATCTTTTTTCATGTTACTTTTTTAGTTGGTCTTCATGTGGTGATAATTGTTATTTATTTTCATTATGAGAAACTTTATGTATTGAATTTTGCACTATTGTGAAATGGAGCAATACTACATTGTTAAAAATAAAGTTCATTTCAAATGTGATATTGTAGTGGCTTTGGACAACACAACTGACTGTAGATTTTAAATTTGTGAGTTTTGAATGAGGATTGTTATATTTAAATACTGTATCTGAAAACACAGTTATAAGGGAGGTCTGATTTAATTTCTTTCTTTCTAGCTCCACCGTTGGAACTAATCACAATAATATTTAGTGCACAATAATTAATAAAAAAAACATCTATAATATATGCCAGAAATTAGTTTAGGGTCGGCCAAATTAGATTTTTAAAAATGAACTTAAACTATATTTTTTTCCAAATTTTGCAAGTAAGTAAGCCAACACATGAATGAACTGAAAAGATAACCAAAACGTTGATCAGGCAGTCAACCTAATTAGATATTAGTTAAAAGTCAAAAATAGCAAAATAACCAAAAACTAAACTTAGTGTAAGGCTGCAAATAGGTGAAAATGTACAAGATCTATTTTAAAACTTTTAGAAACTTCTAAAATCTATCTGAAACAACCTTTACAGTGTCCAAATAGACAGGGTTATGAAAAAATGTGGGATGACCTGCAGAGGACTTGTCAGCCTTAGAAGTACCTGAGCATGCTATCACACACACCCAAACACAAGAGGTCGTGCTGCTCGCAGTGGTTGTTGCTAGGCTCACTACACTGTTGCTCAGTATCTTCCCAACATGCTCTTCTTTCACAGTGATCTGAGCTGACAGCTGAACACTCTCACTTTACCCTTCTTGACCTCAGTCACATGGTATTCACACCTGTGGCTGCCTCTGATAGTACTCAAACACATCGACTGACACTCACAATACAAACAGGCCCAACGCAGCACACATACAGCAGGGACAGGGCTAGGTGTCAAATGTACTAAAACGAATGTTTAGCGAGCATGCAGACAGTTCAACAGTAAAGTTTAAAGGGAAAATCCATTTTAAATGTGTGACCCTGTTTATCAAATACACATAAATAAACAATGGTTATTGGTGGCACTCATTCATTGGTTTTTTCTGCACGACAGTGTCAACCTTGCTCTACATAAGTATGATAAGATACCTTTTATCAGTGGCACCAAGGACATTCAACAGATTTTGTTTCATTGGTGTACTTTGTAGGAAACCCCAGTTTACTAAAGGGATTGTCAGTTGTGGAGCATAAATATTAACAAAGTGGGAATGTGAAGACAGACAAAGGGAGTCGACTGTTTTTCATCAGTGCTTAGAATTGAACCAACCAGTTTCAGCGTTATGTAAATCAGTATGAACAGCTGGAGCTGTGTGATTGGTCTGATTTGCAGGCTAATAATTGCGTAGTGTATGATGCAGTATGTTATTGCCTACAATGGTAACATTGTTCTGACATGTTTTTGGCAGCTTGTAGTGGAGCTTCAGGGAACTGTACTACAGGGAACAGTACACTAGTTTAGTCACATGTTCCGGGAACATTCTGAACATAAGCAGTGATGGTTCTGGTTGTCATTGTCATTGTCACCATTGGTAAACACTATAACAAACTAGACTTATGGCATATTCCATTTATTACAAAAACTATCACCACAATGAATGAGAATCGATGTGTTGAATTACAGGACTGACATATTTACAGTCTTACGTGTCACAAATGGCTTCAGCTGTGAATTCCTTTATCTGCCATGAAGCCTATGAAGTCACTAATGACTTTACAACCTGTCTATATGAACGTGTCCACAGGAAGATCTACTGCAGCTGATCCAGTTCTTTCCAGAGATCCATCCTCCCAGCTTCAGAGAATCCCTGCTCCTCCTTGCCTTTGCTTTCAGCCTGTGCACAGACCCAATCAGTCCACGGAGATGTTGTCATCTTGTCAAGATAAACTGAGGGCACCACGGGAACTACTGTGAAATGACATGCACCCAGTTTGACCTGCTCCTAAATATACAGTAGGTGTGGGTTTGTAATGGAAAATCTGTCAACTAAAAGTGTTGTGTTAAGCTGTACAGCAGTGCATTCAACAACCCTAAGGAGAAAGGAAGGAATGGAAGGAAGAAAAGTAATAATATAATACAACAACAAATAATAAAATAAAACCTCAGGATATAATCCAAACATGGCTGATAGTGGTCCTTTATATAATCTTTGTTGGTATGCACTCTCAGAAGGTAAAGAGTCTCACACTTCTTTACCTTCTGTTGATGGACTATCATTCTGATCTTATCTGATGCTCATCACAACTCCTCATGCAGTTATTCACACTCAATCTTCTCACTATCTTATACTGTATGTTTGAGAGGAAGACTCCACGATGGGAAAGATGAAAATCTGGAGCCTGTAGCTTTTTGTTATGACTATCTGTTGTATCCCAGATATACTAAAAGTAGACCTTGAACCACTGTTTACAGTCAGTGACATGACAAGAAGAATCTGTTGCCTGATAAGACAATATTGTCTGTGTACTCTAGTCCAACACTTTTTAGTCAGCCGTTAGCCGTTAGCCTGCTGCAGCTTATAAAGTACTAAAAGTCAGAATTTGAAATATCTTGGTAGCATGTGCAGACAGTCATGAGGTCACTACAAGAAAATTGAAAAGCAGAGGATAGAAAACTGGGTGGGAGCCAAAGAATGTGTAACATCTGATGAGAGGTATTTTAAAGTGGTTTTCCTTGAGAAACAGAAAAAAACATCCAGTAAGAGAAAGGCATCTGCCCCACACTTCACCCACCCATTGATTGCTAGACAGTTTTGAAGAAATGGTAAGTGGAAACTGCCCCTGCTAAACATGCTCAGGTTGTCAGCCGAAATAATTATGGTCATAGTGAATAATGTTTGAATATTTATGGCAGGATTGTGGAAGTGTTATCTTTCTGTTACTAAGCAAAATAATCTTTTTGAATTTAATGAGTTATAGCTACTCCCAGGTGTAATTTCCTGGGTAAACAATAATAAAAGGGTGAGGCCTATGCACACCACAGAAGAAACGTCTAAAGGTTTTGTATTTTATGGCTTAAAATACGGGTCGGGAATTTGAAGAAGGTAGTAGGTCTGCATGGATTTATGAAAAGCACAATGCATGTCGAGCAGATTTTCTGTCAGCTAATGAATACTATTCTTCTTTGGCCCGTTCAGTACTATTCTTACTTTAATTGCTGCCTATTATCACAAACAATCATGAATTTCTGTTTTGATTGACTTAATTTGTTGCTTCTTTACAATAAATTTGAACAAAATAATAACAAAATAATATTTTTCTGCTGTGGTCTGTGGCACGATGTACAAGTTGTACTGACAACATTCTGGTGACTTTTGACTGATCTTGGCTTCAAAGAAGGTTGATGGTCTAATTAGGAATCCTTTACGGCGGTTTTGTGTGAGAAACTTGGCACGACATGGTCTCTGTTAGACACCTGATGTTGGGGGCCCCACAACCAGGCTCCGTTTAAGTGTCCTGAGGTGTGACTTTTGCACCACTCCTCTCACCCACTGAGTCTGGATAAACACAAAAGAATGACTTCTCGGGGAGAGTCAAAGTTCAGCTCACCTTAAATGGACGTCAATGCTATTAGGAAAATGCATTTTATGTTGCTGCTTTAAAAGAGATGCACATCATAAAATAATAAGCAGATTATTTTCATTTAAGGCTGATTCAATATAGCGTTCAGCTGTATTGTTGCATATGGTTTCATTTGAGAAGAGTGAGCCTCAGTGGGATGTGTTAGCAGAGTATAAAAAAAACAGACACATACCAAACGTAAACTATTTTCATGGCCAGTCATGTTAGTTATTGTTGGGAAACTGTTCATTCAAGCGACTCCACCATATTAAACAGAGTGGGGAAATGAATGAGCTGTTTGTCCAGTGTTGATTTTGGCTAAGCACCTGGTATTTCCCTGTTTTCCATTGAGCAATGTGACCCAAAACTGTGGGTGTGGGATCTAGAATTCCACTTATACCTTGATGAATAACAACAGACTCTTAGCCTAAGCCTAATTCTTACATGGTTTTCAGCCTTATTAGTTGTCACTGATTAGTTTTGATCTGTTTGTAGTTACCTTGATAGTCTTAATACTTGTTTGGTTTCCCAGATGACACTACTTAGTTGTTTTAAACAAACCAAACTATGTACTACGTTAAAGGCTTAAAATGGTTCATTTATTTATCAATTTTCTATTGCTAATTTTTTGGGATGCAAAAGGAGCTACAGTAATCACATTATCGAGTAACTGGGTAAAAGCTGGTGGCACACTGGTCAGATCACTTGTCCATCAATGGGCCACGCACCAGCCAGTCAGAAACCTGATGCACAGTTTATTCAAAACTATACCTATAGTTTATTGTGGTCAGAAACAGAGATTACAAAAAACGTTGTGTGACCACTGTTCATTAGTCACTAATGTAGTTCAAGCCAGTATAGGACATTTACTAATTTAACTCTTCTACACATGGGCCATGCAGTGGAAAAGTGATTTCAGCTATTACCTTACAAGGAGATTTTCCTCCACAGTCCAAAAACATGCTTTAGGTTAACTGTCCATAAATTGACTATAAGTGTGAATGTGAGTTATATCAGTTTGTGATTTTCTGACAGACCGCCAAACTGTCCAAAGTGTGTCTCACCTTTGCCCAACAAGTGCTAGGGTTGGCTCCAGTTCACACCCCAAAGCTGAAAGGGATTAAGTAGTAAATGATGACTAAATAAATAAAGCATTTTATGTCTAGAAGGAAAATTCGATTGGTGTAAATGGTAGCTTTAAATGACATCTGATAATCCTTTTCCCGTTTTTTTTTCCTTTTGATTTCCTGTCTTAATTTAAAAGTGTAACATTACTGTTTGAATTCTTTCTCATTCAGTCATTTCCGTGTGTTTTGCGCCAGGCCCCTTCTAATGTTGTGATGTTCTGTCATGAACAGCACGTCATTTAACATGAAACGAATAGTCTTTCTGAAGAAATCTGGATGATACACTTCACCTGAAGTCTATGAAGATTCTCAGTCATCCAGCTCATGGTCAAGTTTAAAAGTTCTGTTAGGCAACAGGATGTGAATTTTCTAAAAGAAGACGTTTCACCCCTCATCCAAGAAGCCTGAAGAAGCCTCTTGGATGAGAGGTGAAACACCTTCTTTTAGAAAATTCACATCTCGTTGCCTAACAGAACTTTCAACTGGCCATGAAACTAGTTCTCAATGACTGTCTTCCTCGTGGAATACTGCCACAGAGTAATGAGTCACTGCTTGCTGCATGTAGGGTCAAGTACAATTTACAGTTTCTACTAAAGACTAGGAAATGACAAATGATGACATCACAAGTTGAAGACTTTTCACCCTATAATGTACATACATCAAGTAAAACATGAAATCAGATAAAAACAAATCATTCTTGTTATTATCCATTTAAATAGTTATTTTTGTAAGTGTTGTATTTATCTATCTCACCGAGCAGACGACATACGCTAATCATAAAAACTAGTAATTCAAATAAATTATCGAATTCATCTTGGTCCTCCAGTCACGTGGCATAGTTTAAATGTCCTACTCTCAGTTTAAATCCTTTCAATGGTCTGATGCTTTGTATTCTACAGGCAAAACAATCAGTCGTCTTCAGTGATTACATTACCGGACCAGATTATGAACTGGGAGATTATTCAAGCAGAGCTGTTAACAGCAAAACACTCAGTAAGTCACGTTTCTCTCTTCCATTTTCCTGTGTGCAGGTTAATGTCTGTTGCTGCCTCAGGTGCATCCGTTTCAACGGTCCGGTTTAACAGGTTGACGTTAGCTGTCAGTGTGCTGCGCATGATTCTTTGTACGACTACAGCTCACCTACAGCTCACCACAATGACCTAATTAATGAGCAAACACTGGATGATCGTGAGAGTTTGACTCCTCTGTCTGAGTGATTGGCTTTACTTTAAAGTATAGTTTTCAGTAAAACAAAACTGGAAAGTTACAGTTGTTTCAGTATGAATTGTCAATCCTAACTTGTGAATTTGAAAGCACTGCGGTTATGAACGGACACATTTGTTTACACATGAGTCAAACAGAAATATAAACTCATACAGTCTGTGGGGCATTTTTCATGTCTGGACATGCCAGTGGTAGCTCCCATCTTTCCCAGTGATTGACACACACCATCCAGTGTGTTTAATGAGCACTCAGTGCTGTATTGAACCAACAATGAGCCCCATTTGGCCTGTGCAAGGTGTGAAATGGCACACTTCCCCCTGAATGCCCCCACCATCCACCCCCTATCTCTGTTGTTGGGATTGATTTAACAGACAGAGGCAACTCACAGAAGGTGTGACTCCTACTGGTTATTCACCAGACTCTATACACACACAGACAGATTCTGGCACTGTCACAAACTCCACCCCTTTTACGCAGACACACACTCACCGGTCTGACTGCTGCACCCTGCTCACTGCTCCCTCAGTACAAGTCAGCCTTCAGACGGGAGCACACTGAACTCTGGGACTAAACACCACCATCACACCAGTGATTATTTGTCTACAGAGCAGCTTCAAGCCCCACATATCTCAGCAACATGGGGAGCAGCATGTCATGTGTCCCCCAGCACAACTTCAGATTCTCCAGTAAAAGTTTCATACGCAGAAACAGGTAAGAAAACGTGTCTACAGGTATTCCTATTGTACTTGTCTTCATTCTGAACACATGTCAGGTCCTTGACTGCTGTTTGTTATTTTGGACACTACATTTCAGCTGGAAGGAATTCCTGGTATTTCTCTGGGTTTAAGCAGCAGGGGTTAAATGCAGGTTGTGAATTTTGTGAGCCTCTGAGGCGAGGATATGGTTATGGATACAGTTATGCAGCATAGTCTGGAAGTCATGCCTGAGTAGTGGTGCCTGTCTGGCCAACGGTGTCAATGATCCAGTTACCATTTGCCTCCTCTTTGCATCTCTCTGAAGATGATCTGCCAGCTGTCGGTGTGAATCTGGTTTCCCTCCAGAATCAGGGGCTCAATCCCAATTTATTACCAAAATAATACATTTGACATACTTGGTTTGTGACCCCCTCTTGATAGCTTAAGGGGATCTGACCTTAAAACACTGAACCATAAATATAGAAAGTACAGACATGATAAGTTTATGTTTAATTTTAAGTCTGACTTTCCTAAATCTCTAATAGTATTGCTTGTGGTAAAACCACCACATCTGATTATAATTAACTTGCACTACTCTACCACTGTGCTTGGTGATGTTTCAGTGCTTTGATTGAATGTACCATGTCGCCCTATGAAAGAAAATCCCAACGGCTCTTAGTTTGAACACTGATAAACCTTCTTAGTTGAATCGATGGTTCAGCACAAGGACAATACAACCAGTGTTCTTATTTCCCTTTGCAACCTACTAACTCTTTGTGTCGGTGAATCAGACTAGGGTCAGGTTCTCCCCTCAGAAAGAGGCCAAGAGAGTAGACAGTACCATTGAATATCACAGCAATGATTTGGAGAATGCTGGGTGTGTAAATCTTCTACCTGTCTATTATTCACATTCCTCTTTCACTTTGCCTCTGCAGATTACATCAGCATTTGATTGCTTTTCATATCACCTGTTGGTTATATGTCAAACTTAACCAGGTCCTTAGCAGAATGGATAGTTCAGTCAGTAATTGGTTCTGGACATGGACTTCCTGATTAGAAGGGCCTTGATTCCCACCACAGAAACAAAAGCCTGGTTGTTGCACTTAGGACACTGGTTCACATATGTATGCAGATAAGCTGATAAACAACAAGCTAGAGATTGTAAAAGCAGACCTATGTCTTACTTATCATTGCAGTGCGGAAGTTCCCTTAGACAGGGTGACACTAATGGTAACAGATGACACACATGCAAAACAAAGGGGCATTGATTTCTGATTTGCCTATATATGCATGGCCCAACTATCGGACACATAAGACCTGATTGTTCTAATCATTTATAAGGATGACGATGGATGATGAAGATTGGATGGACTGAGGACAATGGAGGGGTGTCTGTCTGATTGTCTGTACAAGACATGAGGCAAAAGCAGCAATTGAAGGTTGCTAGACTGCCATTAAGAAATTAACTCACTAGTTTAAATTTGAGTGAGACTGGATTACTTGAACGTGAAGTGACACTGTTTATTCTTACCATCCCATCTTACAACTGCTAAGTGCCATGAACACGAAATGTTGCCTGTTGACTTTGCAGTTAGGAAGTTGAGTGAACAGGAATAGGTAGTAAACAATATGCTGCGGATGTGTCATGACTAACAGGGTTTTTTTCTTTTCTACTGAGCAGCAGTCGTCTGTTCCGCAAAAAGAATCCTCAGGAAGGACAGGAAAAGTCAAACAGCATCATCAACATCCTGTGCACCGTCACCCCCAGGAAGGTAAGGCGCTCACATCAGGAGGCGCTGATAAGAACCTCCAACCAGCGGGACACCAATTATAACTGCTCTGCTTAAAATGTCAACCTGTGTATTATTCATTGTGATGCATTTTAGTTGACACTGTGTCTGGTTGCAGGACATGTCCCACAAAGATCTTCAGACAATTGAGAACATAAAGTGGGATCCTCCATTTCCTTATGATCCAGCCAGTGGCTGGAAGAAGAGCAGCATCAATGTGAAGAATTACGGGCGCATGATTCACAGCTCCAAAGTCCGTTTTCGCTTCCTCCACTGCCAAGTGAGCAAAAATAACTTCTTTATTTGATTACGTCAAAACACAGGGAAACAGGGAACGTGGCAATAAACGCACATTCAATGCTGAACAATCTTTATTATGGTTCATGAGGTTTCCAATGTCCAAACCTACAGTGACACATTATGTCTGTGTGAACGCAGGTGATGGAGAGTTACAGGATGTTTCACCGCTGGCCACGAGACAACACTGAAACTGCCAGTGTTGACGTTGTGGTAGGCTGTGAATAATCCTATGGCTTTTCCACAAAGCACACCGCAGCCTGTGTTTGGACATGCACACTTTTGTTGCAGTTGTGAAACATCTCTGAGAGAAAACCTCAGGGTAAAGACAGAGAGGGAGAGTTCCTCTGATCCCAGGGACTGATAGAGGGATCATGCCGTCTCCTCACTGTGGGAACAGCAATATATCAGAGCAGTGACACAACAGCTCTGACATAAAAATGGAAGAAATGATTGATTAGGTTATGACGTCATGATATCTAAAAAACATATTGTGAAAGACAAGTGATGTCTTTATTTGTTGGGAGGAAACTCAAATTGTGACAAACATTTTTTAAATGAATCCAACATTTCCTGTTGGAGAGGGAACAAGAAACTGAACCTGACCAAACTAGTGTTAATGCTTAAGCTGTTTTTCTATTCACACAGTACAAATTGAAATTTAAATATATTGCTGTTGCTCTAAAATACAGGAAATACGTTTTTTATCTTGTATCTCAACAGGATATACATGACTGTTACCTGGACCTCTTCCAGACACATCTTCATTTTGTCTCCAATAACACAACTGGATTAACTTATCAGGTAGGTTTTTCTTATTGTATTTATCTGATTCCTCAACTTCAAATAATCATGGATCATGTGGTTTAGATTCTTCTATTGAGCAGAAATCTAAAGGATATTATGTCAAGTTGCCATCCACACGTGGACCCTGTCTGTGAGCAGTGTCAGTAAACAAAAAGAATGATTAGGTTACTGCTCACAAAGCACCATCAGCTATTAATCATCGTTTTACTGTCTGTTGTCAACGCTACTCCATGACAAAACAAGGCATTTAAGTACCTGTATTCTGTTCTAGTATAATGTACTTTGGATAACGACAGGCAGATGACCGCAAATCATCAGATTACAGTATTTTATGTGAGAGAGCTGAGCAGCTGGGTCAAATACACAAATATAATCAAACTAAAATGAAGGCTACATGTAGTACTTGGGGTTGTAGGTTTTAGGTGTTCTTCAATTTGTCTTAAAATATGATTTTAATGGTCTGCCCTTTGGATGTTATATAACTTTAGTTTACAAACAATTTGACCCTGTGTTGTTTTTTAAAATCATGATGTCTTTGCTATGTTTGTTATATTTTCTGGCCACTTTGATTATCTTGGCTAATTGCTACAGCAATTCTGTTCCCCTGGTGTTTCTCATCAACGCAAGCTATACATTAAATTTGTTAAAATGCTGTGTCTTTACATTTGTTTTTGGAATCATAATCACAAAAAGATGCTTATTAGTTATGATTAAAAAACAACAACTTGTATTTAGTTTTTCATTCTCACAAGCCTTTGTCTCTCTCACACACAGGGAACTCTCCCACTGAAAGAGCTCTCCATTTGTAACCTGCAACAGAACTGCAACCACAGCCAACCCCAGGAGTTTGCCTTTCAAATCAATGGTAAGTCTAGTTCTTCTGCTTTTAAAAACATTTTTTCTTCTGCATGTGATCTAGTGAGTTTTGCTTTACGGAAATGCTCACATATAATATGCAAACCACAGAAACCACAAGCTATTTTAAAGCTGCAGCATTTCATATGTTGTCACATTCCAGTGATTCAAAGGTGCTGCGACCCTCATCACCTCTGAGCAACCCCTAGACTAACTAGAGCTGGGCCCCTTCACCCTTGGTCAGGGGGCCAAAGTGGTCCAAAGGACCGTGCTTGTTAGACAACAGGTGCACTTCAGTAAGCCCAGCTGTCAGGGAGAAAAGTCCAGCTACTGCTCTCAGCCTTGTCACTGCTTATAATCTATTGCACATTCCTAAAAGTGCTCCCAGGTTAATGCTTGGGAGAAAGTACACTCCGCTTTTGAACTCCGGATCTGGCAGTTCATTTATTTTCATGAGAAGAAATACTATAGGGACTAGAAGGCTTTGGACCTTCCTTGAGAAAGATAGCAATTTATGTAAAATGATCACTTTAAAATGTCAGCCCTGAAGAGTATAGTGTTTCATTCAGTGTTTATATTTCTTGATCACTTCTATCTCACTAAAATCTGAAGCATGTCTGTAGTCTCAATATTGACATTGTATGGTGTTGTTCTACATCTGACTCTGCCACATCAAGCTTCTTTTTACTCTGTGGCTTTGTGATTCCTTTGTTGCGGTGCAGACTTTTATTTACCATATGGGAAGCATCACTTACAGGAAATAAGTAGCGGAAGCATTGCAAAAATGTGAGTCAGCTGAGAAATCTCACAGTGTGAGAAGTGGTTTCCTCTGCGTTCCTTCCTCTCGCTTAGCCGAAAATATGCATCACTGAAGCAGCTCTGGTGAGTTGGTCAGTGACTAAGCAAACACAGCACGAGAGGGTCTGGGAAAACCCTTTTAAACTCTGGCCCTGGACTAACATTGCTGTGAAAGTTACATAATGGTAGTTAATTACTTTAAATAGGACATACTAATATGTGCAATGTGGATTAAAGCCTAGGTTATGATTTAATGATAACATCCCCAACGGGTCAGAACCAGAAGCTTTTTACCCATGTGAAATAGGTTTCATATGCATCGAGTGTTGTAAAAATCATCAGCTCAGCTATTTGTGAGATAACATTCCATTTCCTCTGGACTAATATTTACTTACTAAAATAAACTTAATGCTTGATACGGTCATTAAAACTTTGAAAGAATTTCATGGGCAAATCCACATATTTTAATGTTTTTGCCTTGAGCACAAACTAATTTCTGAGAGCATTTGCTCATGAGATAGAGCTTCAGTCAAGGTCTATGACTAAATGTCAAAGTGAGCAAATAACTAATTCCTGCATCCAGAGAAACTGTCTAAGAAGCAGTGTCAGAAGTCTGAGACAATTACCACACAAAGCCATGGGGCTGATCCTGTTATCTGTAGTGTTTATCAGTGGTATGTTTGGGACTGATAGATGGGAGAAGATTCCAGTTCTTTTCATCTCAAGCCACGTTCATTCCTCCTGAGTCAACAGTCAAGGGGAGTGAGAGTCTGTTTCATCTTTCAAATACCTGATGAAGCAGATCACATTGGATCTCCCACAGCAGGCCTTAAATGTGGTTTATGATCTTGAACATGTGTTAACATTTATTGTAATTGTTACATAACACCTTAAATAACCGGGAAAGCACAGTGTGATTGCCAATTCTGAGTCCCCATTATGTCCAAAAAAAAAAAAAACATGGACTTAACACTGAAACTTCTGACCATGTGACCTGTATGTATCCCGCAGGTGTCAGCCTTACTTCCATTATTGTCTACTGTGCCAACCAAGATGAGCTGGACCTATGGTTTGGTCTTCTTAAGGAAAACATTGAGGCCAATGGAGGCACTGCAACTGCAACTGAAAACTATACCAGAGTAAAAGTAAGTTGTCCAAAGCTCTTTAATGCAGCCTTGTTTGATCATACATGAAAATGCATGTAACTCTCCATAAATCTAATCTAAGAAATACGTGTTGAATTAGCCAATAATGCTTTGATGTCAGCTGCTTCTGATGCACATAACGTATGAGTCACATGGGTCACTGCTGGCACTCCCTAAGGCTAGATACCAGGGAGTGGCCTTGACCACATCACAGTCTAAATCAAACCAACACTCACATCTGCACAGTGGTTGAATTGCTGACTCTACATCCGTAGGTGGTTGAAACACCTGACTGATGAAACACATGAGCGTGAACCAGAACAAAGGAGTTAAATGACTCAAATATTAAAAGCCAAATGTGTGTTAAAGGCGTAGCTGTGTCCATATTTACATTTGGGATAATGTGTGTAACTTTCTTCTGTGTTCTTACTTAGTTAAACCAGAATGATGCTCCCGAGGCCAGAGATGAACTCAGAAACTCCATCAACAGAGATCCCATCTATGAATGGGAGGGCTCTCAGAGAGACAGCCTGGGCCCCATCACCTACGTCACTAAAGTCCGACTGCAACACCTGCCCTGTCAGGTAACAACAGCCCTTCTGTTAATCAACAGTGAATCACTGTTTATGATCCTACACACTTATTATGTCATTAAAAATGACATTATCTGTGTTTTCCCATGTATGGTAATGTAAACGCAGACTGGGGTTAATCTGGGTCAGACCTACAAGAAACAATATTCCACACCTATTTCACAATGTCATTGGAACCTCTACTGACTACACGGGATCTCAGGATTTCCGAACTTTCCAAATCGAACCTGAAACCCACTGACGCAGTCAGTGTACATTCTAGAAGATTTCAATGTTGGGAATTTTAGACTATGGGAAATTAGCTAGAATAAAATAGACTCTAAAGCTAGGTGACTCACATGGTTTTTAGTTGTGCAACACTTCACATTACCTCAACAAAACAAAGCAAGGAGTGACTGGCATGGGTGTAGTCTTTTTTTGGCAAATGTCACTTCTGCTGCAGGTATATCTCTATGTCTCTTTTTTGTTGATAACATGTAGAACTATTTTTGCCATATCTTCAGTTGGCTAAGTTAGCAATGAACATTGTTATATTTGGTGTTTTTTTTTCTTGCATTTTTGGAACTTTTATTTGTTACCTAACAATTCTATGCCTACTCTATCTACTGTAGCTATTTAAAAACATTGATACCTGAAAAATCGTCTTCTAATAGTTTAGAAGAATATTTTATCTCATTAGATCTGACATGACGTCAAACAGTAAAGCAGGAATCTAAATAAAAGAGCTTCACACACTGTATAAAACAATAAAAGTTGTCATGACATGGCTTGTACAGTCAAGTGCTTGAATATCCACTCTCTGTAGGCAGTTTGGTAGCGCTGTGGAAGTGTGTGAGATTTAGGACAAACTTGCATGAGAGGTATCTGCCTGACACTGACTCAACTCACCTCACAGCTGGAATGTCAGCTGTCCGTTCAGACACACCCTCCAGCAGAGAGAGGAAACATAAACTGCTGCACCTTTAAATGCCCCACTCACTGCTTCAGCTGAGGATCCCACAGGGATTTAAACTGTGTCTCTCAACAAAGTATTAAAGGATAACACTGGTGTTTTTCATGTGCAAACCTGGTCCCATAGTTACCTCTTCGTCTAAAGAGTTCAATTTTTGACAATCAACTACTGGCATTATACAGTTTTATAATATTTCCATTTTGCCTATGGAAAAATAGGTACAAAAGAGGTTAAATTTAGGCAAATGTTTTGCAAACTTCTTATGTAAAAGTTTTTATTTCATTTTTAGAGAAATTATTTGGAAATTACCTAGCAATATGTAAATAGGAAAGTCTTTCCAAGATGTTAAGTTTGGTCAAAAGTTAATTATTTAAAAAAAAAACCCCGAAGATCCCGAAGCATTGGACAAAAGATAAATAAAAGTGTTAAAAGTTATTATAGGGTTAAAGAATTACAAAATGGCTAAAAGGTTGCCAAAAAGCTCATACTTTTTTTCCTTTCCTTAAGAAGCCTATCCTTCGATTGTCATTGATTCGATTGCCAAAATTCAATACTCAGCTAAAACTGTTGATATCTCGTGTCCACAGGAGCAGAGTGACAGACTCCTGGTGATGTACCCGTCAACACTAATCATCCTATCAGAGGAGAATGATGGGCTCTTTTATAAGGTACCACTTTTTTATATTTACTTATGCAACATTTCCAGTGTTTTGTATTTTTTTCCGTTGGATTTAACAGTCACTGTGATTACAGGGTAAACTACCACTGAACATGATCACTGTGACCACGCCCTGCCAAGACGTCAAGCCTAACACGTTCATGATTGAAGGTAAACAGTTCACACTGGCATGTTTGGTAAATGTACATTCTTATGCATACTTTACATTAAGTGGCCTTTCCGATTAATGTGCTGGCGTCACAGAGAGTAACCCCCCATGAATGAGCTGGTCTGATCCCCTCTGAATGACGGTCTGACTCTAGCACATTCCACTGAGCAAATGCAGCGAATGAATGGCTTTGTGCTGCCGCTCCTCTCTCTGTGCAGGGAAGCTCATCAACCCTATCGTGGTTTCGTGCCTGGATAGGACCACGTTCTGTGACTGGATCCAGCATTTCAAAGCTGTTGACGTGCCTGTTATGAGCCCCCCACCCCCTGTGTATGACATCATCTACACCCCGACGCAAAGAGAGGTCAGTGAGTGAGGCACACTTATTTTTCAAAAGCGGTTACACTGCTATCGCCTCATTATGATGTTAACTATTGGGTAAACATAGAGAGAAGTGGTTTGTAATAGTGACTTTGACTGTGAACTTGATTTATATCAAATTGTATATAATGTATATACAATTAATATAATTAAATTATTATTTAGGCTTTATCCAACAAGAATTGGTCTAATATAATATTTTATATTTTTCTCTATGGCCTAGCCTCCAAAGTTGGACAGATGGAGTGGAAACAGCCAAGGACAAGCTGAGTCCCATAAGTTCAGCCACTCCACAAGTGGACATGGAGCCCACAGCCTTCAGTTATCTGTTCATGATGAGAACCCTCTCTCCCCTGGATATGCTGAACCTCTCTGTGTAAGTCAGCCACAAACTACATCTTGAGTTTAGTTTTTATTTTTGCCTCTAACTTTTTATACCATCTGCTAGGACATAAATAATAAAGGGTTAATTTATACTGATCAGCAAAACTTGTGTTTGATTTGATGGAGCTCAGCACCCAACGCTTTCTTCTACAAAGTGAATTATTAAGTAAGGTGTAGAAATAACACTGCTCCTGTTACAGCTCCAGACACTTAACTTTGGCTCTTTTTAGGTTAAAAGAAAATCATAACAAAAAAGGTGATTTGCTGCTTTAACATGATGACCAGCATTCACCTGAATACATCCAAATTAAATTCTCCAGAGAGCTAAAAGTTGTGCAGGTTTGAGTAAACGGAATGATGCTAGTCAAAATATAGCAAGCTAGCTAATATGTTACTCATAGAAGAGCACTGATAATGTGGATGTTTATTACACAAAAAAATGATCAGAAATAGTTATATATATATTGGGAATATATATTATATGATAGTAAAAAAGTGTATATCTAATTTAGTTGAACAACAAACAAAATGATAGCAAATTAAAGTCCAAAAAATAACCTAGCTCTAACCCAAAAATAGCTTATAAAATGGTCAAAGATGTAAGGCAGGGCAGAACTGCTGTTAGTTAGCCAAAGAACAGTAAAAAACACAGTTAAGTGTAGCCTAATACAGGTAGCCTAAAATAAGACAAGATTGTTTAACAATTTGCTGTTAGATTGCGGAAAACGACAGGTGCAAATAAAGCCCCAATAACAATAGTATATACACATTCTCTGAAGCCACATTAGCTCACACCTTGTCCTGTCTGTGTTTGATGATTCTGCAGTATAACTCCAGCCGTCCCTCATCCACTGAGACAGCTCATCTGGGAAGCAGAAACAACAGCATGTCTTCACACACCAGACCTGAACGTGACCTTCGACCGCTATCACAGCGTTACTCCTCACCACAGCGAAGCTCTTACCTTCAGCCAACTGAGAACTCAATGCTGTCTCAGGTCTACAGCAGTCCCTACTCTGCCCTACACCGTGCCAGTCCACAGAGGCTGGAGAAAGCCCCACTTGTGAAGGTAATTCATGTTGACGTTTAACTTGATAACCTGATACTCCCTTTGGGACTGTTGCCTTATTTTACTTATCACATGTGCAGCAGTTAATAGACACAAGAGGCCGTAAGGGCACACGGGTTGATGTAAGCAAACCATTTGTCAGGCCATTCGTGCAGAATTGCCGATGAATGAATGATGCGATAACTGAACATTTAATTTCATATACACCAATCAGGAAATATTTACTAAAGGGTTATCACTACTTTCCTGTGGGAGCTGAAGAGTGGGTTTTAATACAACACTGCCAGCTGCCTGTTGATTTATGAGACAGTAGATCACTGTTACACCAGCACTGCTACAGATCACGACAGACATAAGTCCAAAACCTCCACTGGGTCATTTGATCTGATTTATGTGGTTAGCTTATGTGACTCCGAAGAACATGAGAGAAACAGACAGTGATGAAGACAGTCTCAGACATTTCTTTTGCCTCTCATCATCCTGGTATATTTTTCTAATCCCTCCCTGTTTTCCTGTAATACTTGTGTTTAGTCTAACAGCTGGAGTACACCTCAAACATCCCTGAACTACTGCCTGAACGGCCCTCAGCGTCACTCCGATATGTGCGCTCCCCGACAACCTCTGTCGCCACTGTATGACGAGCCCTGTTCTCCAGAAATCTATGCCCTGGATGAGGCCGTGCCATCAGTAAGTGGGTCAATGATACTGGATCCATAGGTTCAATTTACACCTGCGCAGACTCTCTGATATCAAGCAGAGCAGACACACAGCAACACACATAAACAAACACACACTGGGTCTGGCTGCTAATCTGGTTAGAACACTGACTTCAGGTCTTTTTTGCAGCCCAGCCGTAACCATAGGAGGTTTATTTTATGGTGAAACATTAACTATAAACACTAAAAATCAGAAGCACTCAAAACAGTACTTTAACACATGCACTGCCAAAATACAGGCCCTGCGTGCAACAATGCTCTTTAACTGTTTGTAAATGAAAAGTATCTCCTACAAGGGTAAACACATTTTGAATGTCCTGCTTAATGACTTGCTGACAGAATACTGCAGTTTTGATCTGAATGTGCTCTTAACATTTACCAACAGAACAAGTCATAGTTCTACCTTAAAAACTACAACCATCTCCTTAAAACATCTTATATATGTTTATATTTTTTACAGCATTGTAATAATGGCTGAATAATCAAAATTTTGATATTCTGTATTTTACTGTTTGTCTTTGAAGCACCAGAGTTGGCAAGAGCCTGTTCAGCTGCAGCATCACCGTCATCATCAGCAAGTGCCTCAGCTTTTACCTTCCTCCTTCCAACTCCACACACCTCCAATGGGCAAGCGCTGCAGAAGAAGTCTAGTTCTGACCAACCCCCATGGACATGCTCTTAGTCTGGACATGGACCCTTCCCCGAGCAAAGCAGAGCAGCGAGCAGAGGCTGTTTCTAAACTAAAGCTTTTGCCCATGCCTGGCCAAATTCAGGAGAAGGTGAGAAACATACAGTACTGCTCTCTCAGGACACTCCTGTTTCTGGAATGTTGTGCAATTATGATAGGCTGCATGGTAGCCAAGCATGCTTTTACACTTGTTTGGCAGGTGACATTTGATAAGGTGATACAGACAGCACCTCTTTGTGATATTTTAGGAAACGTGAAAATGTTTCTTATTGTTCATCACAGGATGTAACATGCTCTTCTTTCCACATCTGTTAACAGACTATTCTCTCATCCAGTTCAGCGAGGGCCACTTCTCAGATGCCATACGGTTATTCACCAGGTAAATATTAAAGGAATGTAATTACAAACCCTAATGAAACATCCTTTCATATCGGAATACATTTAGTGTGAAAATGCACTGACTGGAAGTTTGAGTTCAAGGTATTTTTTTCACAAACAAAATGGTAGAGGAAGGTTGTTTTCATGGCATGGCTCAAAATTTATTTTTCTATTGAGAAACCGTGGGTGCTCTGATTCAAATCAAAGCAAGCACTGTGGCATCATGTTTCCTCACATGTGTGATGATGTTATGAAAGCCAACACTGTCTGAGGCTTTTGTAAGTCCAACCAAGGACACACAACATTTCTCACACTCCATTATAACCTTAAATTATACACCACAGACACTTGGACTGATTTAACTCACCTACATGGGCCAACTCCTAAGCAACAATAGCAGTTTGTGCACGTCTCATGTAGGACATTACAGTATATTCACATACACTAATACACAGGACTGAATTACATAATCTATTGACAAATTGTCATAGAAAACAATCCATGTCCCTTAAAATCTATGGTCAATGTGTTTTAGTTTGTGCCTTTTTGTAGTCTTATGGTAATGTTCAATTCCCCTTGACTTGTTAGCATTTAGTGAGTTAGTACACAAGTAAACTGGTCTGAATGTCCAGTACAAGAAGTGCCTTTTAATATTTTTAAAACTTAATTTATGTTATTTTTGTGTTAAAGCTGTAAACAACAATGCTAGCAGGCTACTCCTGCTACAACTGGCACAAAGGGTAGAAGAATACATGTGCAGCAAGACTAATTCAGACCAGAAACTAACTTGTTTACACATTTAAAAGCCAGATTTTGGTAGTACCAAAATAATTTGGTATTGTCCAATGTCATGCCAACACTAAAACTAAAAGCGCAAAATGACTCAGAAAGCTTGGTAGCAGGTTCTTTGATCACATGTACTAGAATTTACCATGTGTCAGATTGACATGTCTTACTGTCACTGTATTGTTAAAAGGAATGAAGGTGCTGGCATGTTACACTGGTTGTCTTACAGTAAGATTATACATTGTAACAAAGCCAGTGACAATACAAGTACTTTGAAGCTATGTCCAAGTTTGTTCAGTCAGGGCGAGGTTTTGTCTTTCGTTGTCTGGAACTAAAAGCCTGGGAATCTTCTCTCGCTCCTACAGATCACCACTCGTACCTCGACCCCACTGAACCAGATGACCAGGAAATGGACTATGACAACATTTGGGAGTACAACTGCGATACTGGAATGATTCAGCCAGCGTCTGGAATTTCAACACACTGGACAGGATTAGACTATGGGGCCAGAGGCCTTGGTGCTATGGCAACACAGCAAAGATGGTCATAAAAAACCTCAATAGGACAGCCACTTGTCTGGACGTGTGCAAACATCAGATCACTATCAGAGGGATAATAAAAGCACACCAGGAGAAACTGTTGCTCCTGTTGCGTACACTGTGAACCAACAGATCCCATGACCTGTGTTGACAAATGCAGGACAGTTAGGAAGTGGCTGCGTGTGTCTGCCAGCAGCGGACTCCATTAAAAAAGCAAAAATGTGACAAAGATGGACATGAACTGTCTTTTTGATATGTAACATTATACAGGGAAGAGGATGGGTTGCACCAAAGGTTTCATGTGAGGTTCAAGAACTGCCAGGCCATTATAAACAAGACCAGTTGTTTCTGGTCAGTTGGTTGTGACCTAAAAGCGGGTTGCAGGGCCACTTTGTGTGGGTCCTGGGTAATTGGTTAAAATCATGAAAACTGATTTGTGTATTCTGACTTCATTCAGTTGTTTTTATTTAAACATGTAACAATTTTGTCTTATGACAAGCTTGTTTCACCATGTAAAGGAAAACAACAGTTGTTAAATTGAAAGTTCTGACAAGTGGGATACAACAGATAATATTCAGCAATATCTATTTCAATTTGATCCTATAATTAGGGATTTTTTCTTTTTTAGAAATTTTCTGTTTGTCCTTAAGCCTAATACAAAGCCATTGTGTATTACTGGACTACGTTTAAGTATAATTTAGTGCCGTGTATCCAAACTGGGTGGTGACCTAAAGGCTTAGGTGAAGTGTAAGGATCTTCTTCTTTGATAACCACTCTTCAAGACTTTGAGTTTACTTTTCACTTTATAATAAAGCTATAAAAGGCATTCCATAAGAGCTTGTTATAGTAAAGAATGTATATTTTTGTAAATTTTGTATATTTATTATTTTATTATGCTTCTTTATTATGTCCAGTAGATGTGGGTTTAAAGGTGCGTATGTTACAACAGCTGAGTTCTGACACCTGGATGAATGTCTCTATCCCATTTCTGTTTGAAGTGTTTATTTATATTTGGAAATAAAAAAGGAAATCACAAACCAACATGTGGATCTCTATTTGATATTATTCTTGTGATAAGTTAACTAATTTACTACAGAAGAAGGTGTAACCAATAGTGTCCATCAAAAAGTATTATAAAGCAGTCACAAACTCAACAGAGACAACCAGCTTTATGTTTGTAATTCAAAAGTAGTAATTGTTTCTCACAGCTTAGTGTAACCGTCTGTTGGACCATATCAAGTGGGATCTCTTATTATTCATAACAGTAACCCAATAACTTAATCTCAGGTAACCGCTGGTTGACCTTAACTCTTGTGATCTTATACTGCCCTCTGGTGTGTAAAATGTGCACATCATGTCTAAACTTAGGCAACACAGAACCTGTTGACTGACATCAGTTATTCTCAAATACTTTTTCCTCGTATTTGTCTCTTAAAGTAGCATCAGTATGACCAACCTTAAATACAGCAGCACAGGCCTACTGTGTTCAGCTAAAAACATCTGGTCCTATTTAAATTTGTTCACTATATATCAACACACTACAATAGGGCAGCATTACAACTTGGCTTCAAAAAAGAGTTTGGAGGCAAGACTTCAGTATGAAAATACAATTGAATGAAAATGTGTGTTTGAATGGGTTTTGTTTTTATTATAAATAACACATTCACTTTTGTTACTATACAAATGTCACAAAAAGAAACAAACATGATCCAACAACATCATTTAACCTTCTGTTAAAGCCTCAAGTAAAGCCACACACTGTACGTCACGTAACTCTAAAGTATCTTGTGACATTGTCCCTCAGCCTCTAAAATGACTTTCTCTTACCTTATTTACAATGGTCTAAAGCTTCACATTTGTTAAATATACAAGTTAATTCCTGCTACTGACAAATAAAACTTTTTTATATTTTAGTCATCGTGTAGTCATCCAGTTGTAGTTTATAAATTATGTTGAAATCAGTGCAACACGGAGCAGTATGTCTCCAACAAAGTCAAGTCTCTTCAGCAAATCGATTTCAGTCTTAACAGAGCAACAGTTGACAGCAAAATTGAGTAAATGGGCAGAAAGATCAGCACTCCGGTGGGTCTGTGTCACAAAGTCTGGTTTCGTCGGCCTCTGTTTTCGTTCTGACGTACTTGCGCAAGTATCGAATGGCTGACAGAGCACTTACATTTGCCAGCAGCACTGTGGGAAAGTAAAACATCACTGAGTGAGTCATCACATTTTTCGTCAGGTAACAGAGAATTGACTTATTCAAAAATTAGGTTCCTGGTGTTTCTAAATTTGGTTAGAAAAGGGGTAAACCTCTGATTGTATACTGCTGCCAAATGTTTAATGCCCCCTGGTGTCAATACAACACAAATAAGGCATGCCTCACATTGGCAACATAAAACTAACTACATATTGAGGTAATTCAATAAATGACAAATTAAAAAAGCATAAAAATAAAGCTTAAATTAAAGCTGTAATTGAACAAACGTACCAGCCTTCCATGCATCTCCTACTTGTGGGTTTGCAGTCTTCAGCACCCAGGAAGCAAATGCAATACAAACCAGGCACATATCTGACTGCTGCAATGTCAGGAGGGAGGAATCCAGTCCTGGGACAGAGTTTTACACACAACATTTATCTCTTCATAGAAACACAGTACATAAAATAAAAGTGTCAGGATGACAGATGTGAGTAGTTAGTGTTTCATAACTGACATTAATAAACTGACAGTTGCTGCTAACAGCTCGGAACATTACGTTCTATCACATTGTGTTCCAAGTCAAGACCCTAACACCTGCAGATTCTGTTTTCACCAACAGGGCCACAGGATGGTACTGCTGTATTAGAACAGGAGTCTTAGAATGATAATTCTACACAAGAAAAGATGAGTGATACCTTTTGGATACTAGGAAATAAAGATTTTCTTAAAGATTTCACAATATATGTAATTTAAAAGAGCAAATTCTATTTTTAAGGGAATGTACTTTCTGGCCTTAGAACATTAGGGTTCTCTTATCTTAATTTCACCTTAATAGCATTAATTACAAAGCAAAGTTAGAATATCACAGCAACGACCCAGAGATGACACGTATTCAGTGAAGTTATCACATACTGCCATTCCTCTTCACTCTCACTATTGTACAGCAGTGTCATTTGTTGAGTTTGACTCGGTCATGACTCCAACAGCTGACATACTTTGAACTACAACTAACCACATGGCAGGCCAAGCGTAACTAGAAGAGGTTAAATGGTTGACATATTAAACAGTTTTTCTCATATCCAGTTTTAAGATTATACAGGCTACATATAAATATATATATATATACACACACCACAGTATATTTCACAAGCTTACAGTTAGGTACATGACAGTTGTAAATAGCACTTACTTGGATTTGAAACAGTTGTCTTTAAATCCTCATATCTGAAAGGATGCTGAACTTGATGTCTGGTAATCATCATATCATGATTTCCCAGAACATTTGTGGGATAAAGTGTCCTTTGGAGGATTTTATCGCTTTGCATCATAGGTATACAAGGCAGAGAGTTTGACGTCTGCTGCGTCTGAACTGTTGATCCAGAATATTTAATATTCCTGAAGGAGAATGTTGGATTCCAGAAGAAGTTCTGTTTATGGTCATTATCTGTGTAAAAATGTTCATACACGTCTGTGGAAAGCCAGGATGTACTTGTCTTGCGGCTTAATCTGCTTACTACCTTTACAGGACCACAGTTGTCTTCTTCTCCAGATTCAGAAGATTCATCAGATGAAGAGGATGAGGATGGAAAAAAGCAGTCATAAGCCTCTGGAAAATGCAGATCTCTGGAAGCCGAGCGAGAGTAGGAGAAGATGGGGACCTGTTTATCTTTAGCCTGATCTTCTGCTGGGATGGGACGGTAGAAGAAGCTTTCTGTATCAAACTCAGAGAAGAAATGATCATACATTTCAGGGACGGAATGTCCTTCAGTGTAGGAGTTGGATAAGCTGTCTATAGATGTTTGGCTGGGATCTAATTGCTTTCCACCAAATAGGTACCGTAAAATATCAGTTATAGAGATTATGTAGCTGTCAATCAAAGATACAGGTGTAGAATCCATTTTGTCTGTTTTCTGTGTCTTTTGATCCTCTAAATTCTTGTCATAATTGCCGGGATCTTCTTCGACAAAGGTTTGTGAGGTGTGGCCTTTCCATGTGCTGTTGAAGCTCTCTGACTGTAGTGCTCGTAGATTTTGTACACTTATTTTTTTGGAAATTCTTCTGGGGCCATTTAGAACACTTTCAGAGAGCACGGGTCCGGTAGTGTCACTAGCACATGTCAACACTGAATTCTCAGGAAAAATGTCAGTGACTGCACTGAGTGGCAAAGGTTTACTCTCCCAGATTACACTTTTGGAAGTGGGGAAATCAGCAGTTTCTACAAAATAGGGTGATTCATGCTTGGTACTAGTCTCTTCAAGTAGTGCCAATGTTCCTGAATCAGTGGTTGCAAACATGTCAGCCTCCTGAACTTCTTGAAGAGTTGGGAGGGTGATGGGTAATGTACCTCTGCTCATCTTTCTTAAACCCAAAATATCATTTATGGTCAGTTTTTCCATCTCACTCCAAAAGGATGACATTGCAAACACTGAATGTTTGGAGTCTGTGAGGATTGTAGATTCACATTCATCTTTGGATGTGGTGACAATATCTCCACACAAGAATTCACTTTTTGATTCTGATGAGTGTGGTGACTCATATTCTCTGCCAGGCTCAGGATTAGAAATGTCTTTCTGGTTTACTTGGATTAACAGATTTTCCAGGCCTTGACTTCCATACTCCGTTTGACAGACAGATGAACAAAAACTACCAGACAAATCTGTGATATTTTCATTTGAGAGTGACTTCACGGATTCTGTATGTAGGGTACAACAAGATGACATTGGTGTGACATCTGTAAGACTTGTAAGATCATTGGATGTGGACATCTCATCTTCCTTAAGATTATTTGTTGTTTCAGATGCTAAAGTATCCTCACATGCCATTAATGGTGAAGTTGTTAATTTAGTTTGAATTCCCAAAATAATTCCTGCTTCTTGTTCTGTGTTTTTAATATTGACATCAGAAACTACACAGTGTTTGGTTGAAGAATTGGTAGAGTTTAAATGTAGTTCCATAACTTTTCTAGAAATCTCTTGTAGAGAGGGAGGGCAGAATTTGATTTTTGATTCCTGTAGTTTTTTGTCAGTGGGCATTGCCCTGTCAGGACCCAAGCAAAACTGGTCTGTGTCACAACGGTGGATTTTGAGCTGTTGTTGGGACTCAGCCTTACTGTGACATAGTGTGTAGTTGTCTCCAACACAATTTCCAGCCTCTGGAGCCAAGACTGACTTAGCCTCGGATAGTCTGTCATTTTGGCTGCTTCCCACCAGGGAATCAGCTGACTGTGTACATGGTGGTACACTGTCAGTTATTGATTTGACCTCTGCTACACCACTTGGTAGGTTCTGTTCCTTATTGCAACTGTTGATAGTCCCATTGCTGAGATCTGACTCCTGGTGACCTGTGTGACTGGTCCTTATTGCCATGTGAGTTGTTTTTCTGGTCTCATCAGACTCATAAGTTGTACTTGCCTTGACTGATACTGACAATTTATTCTGGCCAGTTATTTCATCTAGACTGATGGACTCCTGTGAACTTGTTGCTACTCTATCACTGCGATTTGCTTCTGACTCGATGTCGTCAACACTTACATTAACTGATGTAAACGTGGAGTTAGTTTCTGCCAAGTTTGTAGGTTTGAAGCTTTCCTGTCTAAGTTTGTTCTCTGGCACATATGTGGGAGACCAATCCTTTGCTGATGTCATCACTGGAAGATTGCTTGAAAGTGAAAACAGGGTTGACTCGATATTTTTTTGTGGTTCCCTGCAATGTAACAAATTTATATCATCAGGTACACCGAGAGTGTTTCTTCCTCTTCTTGTACATTGCTCCTCCTCTGAGTCACTCGGCCAAACCAAAACTCTCGTCTCACACCTCTGTGGACTCTCAGGGGGCTCGAAGCTGAGTCGCCTTTTCTTTCTTCGCTTTCTTTTGATAGAAGCTGATGGAGACAATTCCGGCTGTACGGTTTTAAACGGTTGAATGTTTGATGTGTCAATGTGCAAAACAGGGGTTTGTAAATTAAGAGGTAAACAACTATTGTTCATATTAGCAAAAGGTGTCAAGTGATGTTTTTTCTGTGTGTCTATCAAAGGTGAAAACAATTGCACTTTCGTCTCTTTGGCTGTATTAGGTATTGTTCCTGTGCACTCTTCTCTGAGTGTACGGTCATGAAAACAAGACCACTGCGTTGCCCCACATGCTTCGGTTTCTGTGCTGGCATCTTTTTTGATGATCAAATCCATTTTGCAGTGAGCTGGTTTGTTATATCTTTTAACAGATTCACTGAGTGCAGGGTGAGCAGACATGCTGGAGTCGAGCGCTACATCTTTTGTTGTGTTTATGCTGCTGCTCATGTCGACAGGCCTCCTGTCCTCTGGGCCTGACCGTGCTTCAGCTCTAGAGTTTAACTTATTTGGCAAAGAGTTGCTGATGGATTTTTGCCCATCACTACACTGTTCTTGCTCCGGTATTGCCAGTCTGACTTTTCTTGTTTTCTCTTGGCGTGGCTGAACAAAGCTGTCTGTTTTTTTCACTTTTTTCAGGCTTTCAAAAAAGACATTGACAGACTGCAGGTGTATATCCTCCTCACTGCCCGAGAGGACACTCTCAAATCCACCAATGCCATGTTTGCTGATGAAATGCTCCACAGGAGAACCCTCATATGATGGGGGATTGTAGGCCTCTGCAAGATCTTCCTTTCTACTGGGTATCTGAGCCTTTTTAGCTAACATGGACCTCATATCATCCATATCACTCATCCCTGAGTCATCCACATGTGCTAGGGGTGGGGAAAGCAGGTTGCAAGCCTCACACTCAGCAAAGAAGTTCTGCCAGTCACCATCAGAGATCTCCACACTGTACTCAAACTCCTCCATTATCACAAAAATGACCTGTCCAACTGAGTAAGACAGGTGCAGACAAAATACACAGAGAATCAGATTAATCTCCATTATCTTCTTTTTCTTAAAAATCAATAAACCATCTGTGTCATAGTTTACCACAGATATATTAGCAGAACTAAATTAGCAGTTTTGTTACATAATGTCAAATATACTGTACCTAGTAAAACAAAACATTGGTTACTAACATTGGTATTACAAAGAAATGCTTGAAGAAAACGATTAAAACCATTAAAATGCTACAGTAGCTGTACCTATCACCATTATGTTATATAACAAAACGTAACAAGAATTACTCTAGGGAAAAGAGTTAAATGGAGCCAAGTAACTAAAAATATCACGGATTACATGATGAAACCTGGTGATATTACATTTAATATACAGCAAAGGTTATACAACATAGAAATGTGCTGAAGTTAACCAACCTGTCAGTATTCTGTAGTGTTTCTGGTGAAGAGCAGTTGAAGGTGTACAAGGCCAGGTTCTTTGCAGCACCGCGCTGTACGTCATGGGGTGGGCGTTTCTTTTTTTTTACATGATCCCTCAGCGCCCCAGCCTCATGATTGGATAAATATAGAGCGGTGCTTCCGATCACGTAATACACGTAGTGTTCTTAAGCAGGCTCTTCCAACAGAAGTTTAATGTTTCAGGACTTTAAATAGACTCTCTTCTCCAGCCAACGTTTTAACTGCTACTAAGGTCATTAGTTTTACTATTGTTTAATTTATTAAAGCTATAAAAAACATAGCTCAATGCTAAAAGAGTGAATTCGTTTTTTGTTTCTGTGATACCTGGGCTATTTGCAATTTTATGAAATGTTTGAAGAGCTGTTAAAAAAAGAACCTAATAGTGGATCAGTAGGAATCCTAAAGCAAATAATTATTAATTATAAATTAATTAATAATTATTTACCAATTATTTGTTTTGACAACCAACATCCGATGACCATGTTTTTCATGCAAAGACTTTGTTAACTTTTAATTTTTTTTTAAACTTGTAAATCTTTACAATGACATCACATAAGGTGGTCTGGAAAACTATTTAAAACTAATATGCCTATCCAATAAAACACATTTAATAATAATAATATGTTCGCCAGTATTCTAGCTAAACATTTTCAATTTGTATCTAGAAAAAAAATATTGAGTTTTTCTCGTTAGACATTAAAACCTACAGTATCTATTCAATACTTTAAACTGTTTTGTTTCTTATTGTAAAGTGTAAAGAAGTTGTACAAGCTCTTAACAACTGTAGTGTTGGTGGCAGCAGCTGCAGGCTCCAACAACAGTCAGGCCATTGGCAGATAGGGGTCACATGAGGAGCGTGTGTGTCAGCTGAAACTCACATGTATGACGTCATCTGTCCACAGTGAATCTGTATATTTCCATGCAAACACTCCAGATGCTGCTGAGCATGGGCTGCATGGACATGACTCAAGTGATCCATCTGTACTAGAGAGAGAGGCAAAATAAATTTTTTATCATTTACTACCTTCTTACTACTATTTTATTTGATTTAAGCTGTGTTGATTTTACTTAAAGTCAGAGTCAGAAATGTAGATTTGTTTTGTTTCTGGTAACATTTCTCGAGGCCACAACTGAATTATTTAAAATTTTCATGAATAAAAAGAAAATGTCTCTAGAATTTATCAGCAACTGCTGCAACAGTTTAAGGAATGCAATGGTAAATTATTATGAAATTTAACAGCTCTGGAAATTATTATTTATTAATTCTAATTCTAATTCATGAGCAACAACTGACTGTTTTTTTGGACTGTTTGTCCAAAAAAGTTAAATGTTACCGTTCATTTAGAAAAAAGTAGCTAAAATTAAAAAAAGGGTTTAATTCCTAAGAGTCTTCTTTTTTTTTAATTCCACATGTGCTGACATCTTCTCTGCCTTTAAACATTGATTCCATAAACATTATTAGCAGTCCTCATCAGCTTATATTTTCACACAGACGTGGGGTTAAAACCTGAGCATCAAATGTCAAATCCAACATTAGGGTTTGCTCCTTATCTGACAGAGACTTGAGTCTTTGTTTACAGCTATCAGTAAGACTTAATGAGAACAATGTGATTACGGGAGCATCCATGCTGTCAAAATGTCGCTGACACTGAAAGATACCGAGATAAGCTATCAGTCCTGATCTCATTAACAGCTGCTAAACTGTTTCTGACAGATGTTTAATGTACCCCAATTAGAGCCAAATTATACCTGGATTAATGATGAGGAGTTTTAATGAAAAAACACATGATGTATTTGAATGTCTACTACTCAAAAACGACTCAATATGAACAGTTTAAATTTGTATGACAAAACTGTTAACAAGGCTTTAGGTTAATTTTGCAAAATATTTTTATGACAGTGTCATTTTACATTCAGGGTCTGTGCTTCGCTCTTTCCCAGGCTGTAACTGCTGTCTTTATCCACCTAATTTTAATGACTAAAGATATTTATGAGGAAAAAAGGAGCCTCTAATTAGCCAAAGCACAGTCTGGGCTGTGTGCCTAAGAGGTTCCTCTCAATTCATCAGCTGTGATAAAGGAGACAAGCCAGGGCCTGTGTGGCTATTGCACCTGGGGCAGCGGGCCGTTTTGACATGGGTGGGATTCTGTTTCCATCAACAGGATTAGGCTCTCATGAGTCAATTCTGGGAGTTAAGATCGGAATCTATTTGGGCTGTTTCACGGCAGCTAATGCAACAGAATTTCACCCTAATTGTTTTCCATGTCAGCCCCGGGAATGTATCGTCAATTAAACAAAGCCCAGTAAACAGATGCATTCTGGAGCAGCCTGGTGACATGATGTTTAAACAGAGAAGAGTTTGTGTATGCTCCTGTTACCAAGCACCCCTGGCTGGTGGCATCTCTTGTGGTAAAAGGGCTGCAAAGTCTTAATTATGGTAAAGTGTGGTGAAACAGTAAACAGCAGAGAAAGACCTCCTGTTTGGAAGGTGTCTGGAAAGCACACAGGCAGCTCAACAATATGTAATGCCACACATGTTGAAGTGAATTTAGGAATTTTCTAGGAATAAAAACCAGTGTTAAAAATGAACTGTATTAGCCTCTGTATAATGACTTAGATGTTCCATTGTTTTCTGTTTTTTTTTAAATTAATTAATTAATTTTTTGGGGTGACGTTTTTGGTAAGGTTATAGGTACTTTGGGCTAATTCTTGCTAATCCTGTGGTTATTTATTTGCTACAATGTCTGTATCAAAACAAAAGTAACTTTTTGGTAGGTTTGCTAGTATGTTTTGGCTAAACTATAGTAATTTTTGGCTGTTAACTTTTTAACATACACTGTTTTAGCAGAACTTGTAGGGATTGTATTTTAAAGTGTTATGAATCAAATGGTAGCAAAAAACCATGGTCTAAACATATAAAAGTAGGTCCTGTAGCTACAGGTTAGCCAAATCTCACAATAACACAATTGAAATATGTAAGAAACAGAAAACACATGACTCGTGTGTTTTACTAAAGCATAACTTAACATTTCAACTTGGTGTTTTTTTTTTAAACTTGCGAAACTATACAGTTTACAGGCCACATAAAGGCCACTCTAACGACAATTTTAAAGCTGACCATGAACTAGTCTGGTCCCAAGCAGGTATTTCTAGGAGTAAAACGTCATCGTGCTCACCTGAAACTCCATTGCAGCGTCATTGACCTTATCATATAAACTACGATCTGGTCGAATTCCGTACCATTATGTCCAAAGTTCATAACTGGCAATTACACGGTTAATATTGATCACCCAGATATGGTTTTCCGTCTGTAAGGCAGCAACAGCATTTAGTACCACATTTTCGTCACAAGATGGCGACTAACAGCCACCGTTTAAGACGAAACTACTGCCGTAAAGCGTCACTTGTGGTTCCCACTACACTTACATCTGTTTACTCGACAGGCCGTGTACAACACACGTAATAAAAAAATAAAAAATTAAAAGGTTCATAAACCAAAATGGTAAACATTGCCATTGCCATTTTTAGGGTGGCAAAGGTTTATCGTAAAGTTCCAACAGCAGTTTTTGATGGAAGATGCAAAGCAAAGAAAACATGAAACATAATGTGCAACAGTTTGTTTTCTCCAAAGGTCACGTTCACTAACCCGTGTTAATACTTTTTCTAAGACTAGCTGAGAGACTTGTTCCGTATTTAAGATTGACAATGCAACATCCAACTGATTTGGAGAGCAGTTGGCTTTGTTTTCATGAGTTTGTGATGGACGGTTTAAGCAGATACACTATGTAGATAGTTGCTGGTCTTGGATTCTTTTGTTGTGTCTGCTATCAGTAACACCTGTGGAGCTCTTCTGTTGGATTAGTTTTACTTTTCAGAAAAGAAACACATTTTTTTCCAGTTATTGACTTTTAGTGTGTGTGTGTGTGTGTGTTTGACCTTCCTTAATGCCATTGTGGTTTCTTCTAGCTTTGACCTGAACAGGGGTCTAGACAAACGTAACTATATCTCTGCAGGTGTGCAAAGCTTTTAATCTGAAAAATGTCAACCAATGAACTGTCAGATAAGGCACCTGGAGGGAAAGGTCAAATAAATGTAAGTATGGACCAGTTACAGTGTAGAAATTAAGATCTAACCATTGGCAGACAACCCCACACTGAATCCACAAACAGAAAACATTGAAGAATAATTTCCCCCTTTGTTATCATATGCTCCTTACGTAGTATGGTGGGTGTATGTGAGGTTAGGGGCAGAATACAAGCTGCAATAGTGAAAGGAACAAATGAAGAAGTTTTCACTCAATGGAAATTATGTTGCTAGCCTATGTTGTTTCCCCCGGAGCAGTGGATGACTGACATCTAAAAATGTATCTGTCAGATTGATTCTTCTGGATCATGTCACTGTCAGCTCACTGCTTTTAAGTCTCTTCCCGTTGAGTCTCAGTGCAGCTGTAAAACAACCTCATTGACAACCCGCTTTATTTGTGTGTTTTCATGGCACACTCCCTGAAACACGCTCAGGAATAAAACCCATGTTGTTTTTGATAGGAAACAGAGCAGACTTGCTGAGAGCTACAAGTTACTACTGCACAAAAGTTTCATTCATAGCACTTCAATCCACTGGCTCAGTCTGCCGTTCATCCTTGCCCTTCAACCTCATTAGGCACACAAGCACATCATTACCCAATAGCTAATGTGTGGATGTATTTTTAGACCCCCAGACGGCTAGGGAAATTCTTCTCACAGTTTCCAGCCTAAAGGCAGTCTGACTTTTTTCACATGAAACAATTTGGCTCATTTTTCTTCTTCGTAGACCTACACATTAGCTGAACAGACACGTCTCCTTATCCTTATGCCTGAGGTGTGACCCTGGCTGACGCTTTTCTATGTCTGTTTTGACCACAGCTCTGCAGGCCTCATCTCTGGAGTTCAGTTGTGGAAAACATCACATTTTGTCTTCCACTGAACAACAAAGTGCAATTCTCATCCCGTGGCTATGCTGATGTATGCATGGTGACTGAACCTATGTCTGTGTATGTCCTATGAAAGGTTAACTCATCTGGAGTTTGTTTATGACTGAGTTCTATGGATATTTATCACAGGTTGGTTTTCACAGGATGTATTGTATTAAAGAAAAAATATTAATTTGTTTCATTTTAGTCTTTTCTGTTTGTTGTTTTTGCCCGTCAGCAGGCAGACTCGTGAAAAGCTGTTTGCTCTGGGTTTAGCCACACAGCCGGCTGTGTGAGAGATCATTCTTCTCTCAGCAGACTTTCTGGGTTAATAAGTTATCTAAGGACAAAGGGCTGACAAAACCTAACACCACATACCCACTGATGGCCTTCCTTCCTTTGGCCAGGATCACACTGGGGTTATCAGAGGCAGGGGGACAATAGGAAGTGGTGAGACCATTCACACTGCAGCACTGTTCCTCAGCTCCTACGTGGCTCCACACAGCTCTGGAGTGTGCTGCAGACAAACAGAGCTGTCTGACTAACCCTCTCCTCCCCTGTGATACATCCAGGCTCCTGTGCTGCCTGTCACCACTACAGACAGCGTGTGAAAACTTAAACACACACTTTGAATTCTTCTTCATTTTCTCATTGTCTCTAATGTCTGATGCCGATTAAAAACTGAGGCCTTTTTTTATATTTACTGTAATTTTACTCATTTCGAACAAATAGTGAACACCCATTTTACTCGTTCTTAGGTTTGTGTCAAGTTAGTTGTAGATAAAAGCCTTTCTGAACCTTATATTGAGGAAATGATTTGTAGATGGTTCATAATCTCACATACACGGTTGTTAACATCTGTCAATGCCGACAGAAGAAAAACAATAGCTCATCCGGCTAAAGGCTTGTTTTGCCTTTTTGGCACTGCTCAAAAGCACCATCCATGTCTCCACCTCTCTACTGAAGAGTCCTAATGTGCTCAGAAACTATGCAAGTGCTTGGCTATGATATCAAGTGTTGCAATTACAGGATTGAA